AGTCCAAGGTCAAGGTCAAAAGGTCAAAGTGGTTGGTATTCAAAAGAAGACCTTGTCACAAAGAATACACATGTGAAGTTTGAAAGTCCAAGCTCCAACTGTTCAGAAGTTATGGCCAAGGTTAAAGTCTCATAAAATTTTGCAAAAGTGGGTCAAACTCCAAGGTCAAGGTCAAAAGGTCAAATGTGATGGTACCCAAAGAAAGGTCTTGTCACAAGGAATACACATGTGAAATATGAAAGTCATAGCTCCAACCAATCAAAAGTTATGGGCAAGGTTAAAGTTAACAACAGACAGACAGACAAACAGACAAACAAACAGACAAACAGACAGACAGGACAAAAACAATATACCCCCGGGATCTTTCGATCCGGGGGCATAAAAAACATTACTTAACCCGTTTTCTTACAAAGTTAACAAATCTTAATGCAATATCAAAATACTAAATAATAAGAAAATTTAACTTACCCCTCATGGAGAAATGGTTACCGTTGTAAAAACTACCTATCTACACATCTTGGATTGTACGTCAAGCATGTAAAAAGTATGAAAACGTGGACCCCGGCTACGTGGTCAGCAATGCAGCGATTTAAATTCTCCAAATACAATAGGCCGTAACTGACCAATGCCTGCAATTTCTAAATTTGAGGTTCATTACACGTAACAGAATAAAGAGGTCCCATAAAGGAAAAATAAGTAAAAATCATAAACATAAATAAAACAATAATCGGGATTAAATTTTGATTGTGACAGTGTAGTCTACTTGTGTGTTGTCTACTTGTGTGCCAAGTTGTATTGAAATCAGACCAAAACTGTAGCAGGAGTAGGGTTTTGAAAGTATTTCACAGAAATTTCTATTTTTAGTAACTATGGCTACTTGTGTGCCAAGTTATATTGAAATCAGACCAAAACTGTAGGAGGAGTAGCGTTTTGAAATTGTTTACAGGCAGACAGACGGACGGCGGGCACCTTACTATCACATAAGCTCTTCTGGTCTCTGACCAGTAGAGCTAAAAATTGGATCAAGTTCACTGCACGCTCACTACCCTTGGGCACTCTGGATTAAGTATGAGCCCAACTGAGCCAAGGGGAGAGAAAATATGCTCTGAACAAGGATTTTACAGTTCTTTGACCTTGATTTTGATCTAGATAATTGGTTCAAGATTATGCATACCCTCCATCCATTGGCACTCTATAGGTCAAGTTTGAGACTGACCGAGCCAAAGGGAGAGAAAATGTGCTCTGAACAAAGATTTTACATTGACATCAAACTGATTTTTTGTACCAGAAAATTAGCTCAAAAAACAAATCACTGCACACCCACTCTCTACTCATGGGCACTCTAATGGTGATGTTTGGGCTAGATGGGCTAAGGGTTTTCTAACCTTGACCTTTCATCTAGAAAATTATTATCAAGGTCACTGCACATTCTTTATCCAAGAGCACTCTATGGGTGAAGTATGAGCTAAACTGGGCCAAGGAGAGACAAAATATGCTCCGAATAAGATTTTAACACAGAGTGGTTTTACCACCTTGACTTTTGATTGGAAAATTGATTCAAGGTCACCTGCTACCCACAGGCAATCTGGATTAAGCACAAGTCCAACTAAGACAAGAGAAAATATGCTCTGAACAAGGATTTTACAAAGAGTTTTTTTTTACCTTGATCTTTACCCCGGTAATTGGACAAGAGGCCCAAGGGCCTTAACGGTCACCTGAGTACAACAATTTAGAGGATCCATAAACTGATAAATGAAGCTTTGTTGCCCAATAGCAAGGAAAACAGTATGATGAAGATCAACAAAATAACTGTTCAAGTATCTTTCTATCTGTTCCCTATTTATCACTATTACCATGCAGACTTTTAACAAAATGTCTATATTATTACCTCTCACATTGGCCTCACTTGGCCTTTGAAGAACATTTAAAAAGATAAGTTATTTTTGTTTCATTTTTATTCATCTATTATTTCCAAGTCTACCTGATTATTAAAACTATGAAAGTACTTTCTGTATTATACAATAAATGTTATTGCATAATTCTCTTATTTTATTAACCTTTCAAATACATTATCTACAGTGATTAATTATCAAAGGTGAATGGCAAAGGGGAATAAGTTCACACAGTAGAATACAAATTAATAGAGCCCTGGCCATTACCAGAACATTTGACTAAATGGTCAAGATGTTTAAAATTCTGGTAAAAATACCTTGCTTATTAAAACTTTTACTCTGTTTGCTTCCAATATGCCCAGGAGCAGAGGAGATTTTCAAAGAAATAATGCATTTTCACTATTTAACACAGCCCTACCCTAACACCAGAACCCATGACCTAGGGTCACGGAAATTTACAAATTTGGAAGAGGTACCCTCATCATCATAACTATGCAATTAGTTGAAGATTTTCAAAGAATTCACACACTTTCACTGTATAATCAAATAGCCCCCCCCCCCCCCCCCCCCCCCCGAGAAAGAACAGAACTCCTGGGACCACAAGTTTTACAAATTTTGTAAAAGCATCCTTGCTCATCATAACTATACACCTATACACTTGTTTCTTTGCTTTACAACCACGAGTAGAAAAAAATATTTTGAAAGAAATTATGAATTTTCACTATATAATCAATAGAGCCCCCCCCCCTTTCACCAAAACCCCTGACCCAGGGGCCATGAAATTCACAATTTTGGAAGAGGCAGCCATGCTCATCATAACTATGTACTTAGTTAGTATATTTCATACCCAGTAGCAGAGAAGAAGATTTTCAAAGATTTAAGTCACTTTCACTATATAATCAATAGAGCCCCGCCCTAACACCACAACCCCTGACCCAGGGGCCATGAAATTCACAATTTTGGAAGAGGCAACTATGCTCATTATAACTATTTACTTAGTAAGTTTATCTCATACCCAGGAGCAGAGAAGAAGATTTTCAAAGATTTAATGCATTTTCACTATATAATCAATAAAGCCCCCCTCCCCCCCTTTCACCAGAACCCCTGACCCTGGGGCCATGAAATTCACAATCTTTGTAGAGGCACTCTTGCTTATCATGACTATGTACTTACTAAGTTTATTTCATACCCAGGAGGAGAGAAGAAGATTTTCAAAGATTTAATGCATTTTCACTATATAATCAATAAAGCCCCGCCCTAACACCAGAACCCCTGACCCAGGGCCATGAAATTCACAATTTTGGAAGAGGCAGCCATGCTCATCATAACTATGTACTTAGTTAGTTTATTTAATACCCAGGAGCAGAGAAGAAGATTTTCAAAGAAATAATGCATTTTCACTATATAATCAATAGAGCACCCCCCCAACACCAGAACCCCTGACCCAGGGGCCATGAAATTCACAATTTTGGAAGAGGCAGCCATGCTCATCATAACTATGTACTTGGTTAGTTTATTTCATACCCAGGAGCAGAGAAGAAGATTTTCAAAGAAATAATGCATTTTCACTATATGATGTATATAGCCCCACCCTAGCACCACAACCCCTGACCCTGGGGCCATGAATTTCACAATTTTGGTTGAGGCCTCAATCCTTATTACAATCATGCCAACAGTTTGACTGCTTGATGTCCAGGAGTAAGAAGAAGATTTTTAAAGATTGCATTAATTTTGGTGGTTTTAGCCCCACCCCTCAGGCCCCAGGGGGGGCAGTGACCAAGAAATTCACAATTTTTGTTCCCCTTCACCCATAGGTGCTATATGCCAAAATTGGTTGAAATTGGTTGAGCGGTTTCAGAGAAGAAGCTAAAAATGTTCAAATGTTAACGCACTGACACACGACGAACGCCGACGGACAAAAACGGATAGCAATAGGTCACCTGAGTGACTCAGGTGACCTAAAAATTGGTTCAAGGTCACTGCACATCCGTTACTCATGGGCAATCTGTGGGTGAAGGTTGAGACTCTCTGGGCCAAGGGGAGAGAAAATATACTCTGGACTAGGTCTTTTTTAATTCAGTGATTTTTTTACCTTGATCCTTCATCTAGAAAATTGGTTCAAGGTCACTGCACACCCTCCACCCACAGGTACTCCATATTTGGGCTAACCTGGACCAATGGGGAAAGATATATGCAATCTATTGGTGAACTTTGAGCCTGACTGGGATAAGTGGAGAAAATATGCTCTGGACAAATAAAATTGGATGGACAGACAGATTGAACACTAGTGCACCCACACAATGGGCCCTAATTAGGAATTAAGGGTAGCTGGACAGTCTGAGCCTGCCAATTCTCAGTTTGTACTTGATAAACAGGTGCTAGGTGGCTACATGAAAAGGTCAAATGTCATCAACAATGTGAATATAAGTACTAGTTCAGAATTTGAGAAATAATATCTGTACGTTATGCATTGAAAGGTATTCTCTGGTTTGTGTGCTCTTCATTCAAATCAATCTAGATGCCAGATATAGTGATGTTTCTACAAACTATATTGGAAAGTAATACATCTAAATCACATAGTGTTGTCAACAAGTACTAGGTTAAAGATGCAAGTATCGGTTAGTAAAACTGCTACTCGTTTACACGGATATATAGACATTATAAGTAGGAAAGAACTTTTGCTTTTAAATGTACATGTATACTAAGATGTCACCAATTTTATTTGTCATTAGTCTAGATCTAGAATTTCACAAATACGATGGATTTATTTTGATTACTTTTCACAATTTATCTAATTAATGGCTTTGATTCCCAAGGAGTATAATACAAATTTTGAAGACCTAATTTAATTATTACCTTATCAATTACCTGATTTAACAAGATGCTGCCCCAGAGAACAAAGGCATGGCAATCTTTTAAAAGAAATTCTGATGTTAAATCCATAAAGGTTAGATGATTATGTGAAATTACAAACATGCAAAACAGCCATTAACTTCTGATTGTAACATTCATTATAAATAATTGTGACAATGTTTTCAAACTGGCATTATTCATAATATTGCCATCGATTTCTAGGTCTCGTCTATAAATAGTAAACATGACAATAGATTACAAATGTAACTGTCGAGGTTTATTTCATTTCATTAATCATTAGAGATTTCTTATCAACAATTTGACCATAAAGTTTGTATTTTTAGATAAAAGTAAGACAGTATAACTCTTCAAAGTGCATGTATACCTCAGACACAGGTACAAGTATGTATGACCATAGACTCAGGTACACGTATGTGTGATGTCGACATTGCAATATCACAAAAGGGTACTTTGTGAGTGACATCACACACAACACGATTTTTCCTTAAGAATTCACAGTATTTCACATCAATCTCATTCACATCATTGTTGGCTGCTATCTTGATGCAGCAGCCTGCACATTTTGTGGGTCGGCACTGTCCAAAGATTTTAAAAGTCTGAATAATCCCGCTGCCTCTCGTATCCGACTGAATTCAATACAAAAGGCTTGTACTTCTATGAAGATATCCTACAAATTAAAAGTTAAAACTTGCAGGAGACATTTCATTTTTAAAAAACAAAAATCATACGTTCTCCATAAAATAATACAGTCATAAAGTTCGAAATGTTGATTCACACAATTAAAATTAAAGTGATCAAAGATTAATAAGCTCAACTCGATAAATGTTATCTTGAGGTCGACTTAAGTCTCGTACAAAGTGAATGATCAGTAAGAACCATCAGTTCAATATAATCATTATAAATCTTTCATAAAACAACCAAAAGTACATGTCACTTGCAGCAAACGTGAGCAAGGCACATATACACTGTACATGTATGAATCTCTAGATGCAACATCCACACAAGTTTAGTCCAGATAGGACACATACTGTAAATCACTTTATTTGCAAGAACTTTATTTTCATGAAATTAAGCAAGGCAATGTGCAAGCAAAAATTTAATTCTCGTGTATAGAAGTATTCCTAAAGATTACCGGGTATATGGAGCTGAGCAATAACCACAATTCTTGAAAATTTTGTCTCCCTTATTAAGGGTAAATGACTACCTCACGAAAATACGGTGTCGCGAAAATTTAGTGATCTACAGTAAGCTCATCTCAACTTCAACCTGATGAGCTACAAACATTGATACATTATTTAAAAGTTTTTTTCTTTCTCTTTCAAGTGAAATAGAAACAAGTAGATTGTACCTTACCTTGACGTCGATGATTTTATTTCTGATGAGAGACTGAAGAAATACACACACTAATCGTACAAGTCTATTCTGTAAATATCTATCACGAATCGTTTCACATGTTGAGATGCAGTTAGAAATGTATAAATGAATGAATTCTGATGGTAGTTCTACAGCCTAAAATGAAAGAAAACAATTAAATTTATATAATGTAAAATTCCTCAGGTAGGAAATGCATGCCTTCATGTTCTGTTGTGCCAAACTTTAAATCGATTAAAACACCATGTTATGGATCATTAAAATACTTACTGTTGTTAGTCTGTTGACAACCTCCATTGAATGCAGAGACATTTCCATGTTGACAAGGACAGAAAAATACCTGGGAAAATCATTATGCTTTCTTAATACAACACAAATTTTTGAGATGTGTGGAAGCTTTAACAACTTTCTCATCAAATGCTGTTTTAAACCAGAATCTTAATTACAGTAAAATACAGGTACCGGATTCTGAAATTTCAGAAGCATGCATGAAGAAAAACCACTCACTCTGTGATTTGGTTGGACTGCATCAATCGCAGTAAAACTTCTATGGCCACTAAGGGGTTATTTTCTACTAAGTCTGGAAGCTGTAAATGAATGAAATGGTACAGAAGAAAATGTTTTAAGAATAAAATCAACAAGTATGTATAATTATGGTCAATATTTGTGTTTACATGTGTATTTAAATCAACCTTCTAAAACTATGTTGTACATACTGACTGAAGTACATTAACCCTAAAGGAATGGGTCCATTATGGTGACCTTGGGAGGAAAAGTCACATACAGCTCTTATAACAGGGGTTAAACATTTAGTCTTACTTTGGCTGCAGTAAGCCCAATATGATTACCTGTAGCAGAAGAAAGCCCTGTATGTTAACTTTGGCAGCAGTAAGCTTTTTAGGTACCTTTGCTGCAATAAGTCCTTAAGCTTTCGTAAAGTAGTACTGTTCTTAAGTGGACTAACACTTTAATATTATCTTGGCAGAGGTGAACCTTTTACATAAACTTTGGCTGCAGCTTACTTAATAAAAATACTGTAATCCTTCCCAGGATAACACTTCAATGTTTCTTTACAATGGTAAGCATGTTATAGATACCCTTGTCACAGTAAGCTCCCCATGGTTACTTTAGCTGCAGTACGCCCTGTATAATTACATGTACCTAGGCAGAACTACCTTTCACGGGGTCGAGCCTTTATTATCCCCTCGCAAGGAAGTTGGAGGGAATATAGTAACACACTTGTGAGTGTGTGGGTGAGCGAGTGCATGCATAACAGAAGTAATAACTTTTGTAGAGATTGATGTGCTCTTTAGCGAGGGGATGCTCTGCCTTGCGAAGCACTTGTTGTAACTTCAGCAGTACACAAGCTTTTGAGCTATGTATATGACTTTGTATAAGTAAACCTACATTGCTACATCGTCAGGACTATAACTAATATAGTTACCCTAGTAGATGTAACCCTATAGTAATAATAGTTACCTTGGCAAGACAAGGTCTAAGATATATGTTTTTTTTAACAGGATAAAAGCTTTTCTTATTACTTTTGCATGAGAAAACCCCTTGTGGTAACCCTAGTTGGAGTAAGCCATACATGTATGTTATACCTTGCCAGGAGTAAACCCTGAAGGGTAACTGTAGCAAGAGTAAATACTATATGGTTACCTTGGAACGAGTAATTCCTATATGGAACGAGCTTAGCCACCTTGGCAACAGTGAGCACTATGTGGTCAGCAGGATTAAGTACTATGTGGCTACCTCCCAGGTACAGTATATACTCGCCTAAAAGTCAGTTTTTTGCGAGTTAAACTTTGGTCCAAAACTCTTTATCTGACTTATATGCGAGTTATAAAAAAATTGGGATTTTAGCAGGTCAAACCCTCTAATTTAAACTTTAAAAATACAACCGACTTATAAATGGACCAACTTATAGGCAAGTATATACGATACCCCATAAATAGTTACCTTTGCAGGAGATGTATCTATATGTGGTTACCTTCGCAGGAGTAAGTCTTGGTAGGATTTAGGGCTATATGTGGTTACCTTGGCGGGAGTAAGTCTTGATATAGGGCTATATGTGGTAACCTTGGCAGGAGTAAGCCTTGGTAGGAGTTAGAGCTATACATGGTTACAGTACCTTGGCAGGAGTAAGCCTTGGTATGAGTTAGAGCTATATGTGGTTACCTTGGCAGGAGTAAGTCTTGGTCAGAGTTAGAGCTATACATGGTTACAGTACCTTGACAGGAGTAAGCCTTGGTAGGAGTTAGAGCTATATGTGGTTACTTGGCAGGAGTAAACCTTGGTAAGAGTTAGGGCTATATGTTTTCCTTGGCAGGAGTAAGCCTTGGTAGGAGTTAGAGCTATATGTGGTTACCTTGGCAGGAGTAAGCCTTGGTAGGAGTTAGAGCTATATGTGGTTACTTGGCAGGAGTAAGTCTTGGTAGGAGTTAGAGCTATATGTGGTTACCTTGGCAGGAGTAAGCCTTGGTAGGAGTTAGAGCTATATGTGGTTACCTTGGCAGGAGTAAGCCTTGGTAGGAGTTAGAGCTATACGTGGTTACAGTACCTTGGCAGGAGTAAGCCTTGGTAGGAGTTAGAGCTATATGTGGTTATAGTACCTTGGCAGGAGTAAGCCTTGGTAAGAGTTAGGGCTATATGTTTTCCTTGGCAGGAGTAAGCCTTGGTAGGAGTTAGAACTATATGTGGTTACTTGGCAGGAGTAAGTCTTGGTAAGAGTTAGAGCTATAAGTTTACCTTGGCAGGAGTAAGCCTTGGTAGGAGTTAGAACTATATGTGGTTACCTTGGCAGGAGTAAGCCCTATGTGGTAAACCAATTTATTGTCCTTTTCCAGCTCTGTTAGTAATTGTTGCTGCTGGGGCAGAGTCAGTGCTCCTTTAAATGCTTTAGACATCAGCCGTCGGATCTCCACGCCTGCTGAACTACTGACACACATGGTGGTATCCCAGGCAATATTATAATCCATGTCCACTGGGTTCATCCAACACAGCTACAAAAAAAAGAAAGAGATATATAGTGCAGAGATTCTGACTGTTAACTGAGATCCATTAAGTGTTATTCTCTTTTGCAGCAGTAAAAAAATTGACTCTGGGTGCAATGTTATCCAGACCATATACTGTATGTGAACTTAAAAAGCACCTTCCTGTTTTAGTGACTTATTCATGTGATAATTCATGAAAACCGTTAATAAAATGTAAATGGACATCTGTAGTGCTAATTCATGGTTATGCCAAGCACTCAATACCAAGTCATTGGGCTAAATTTTGAATACATGTATAATAATTTATGTACAGTACCTCATCTTCAGCAATATGTAAGGGTGGGGCTAATCTGATGAACTCTGGCATCATACAGTTCTCCACGGGAGGTTTGTTCCCTGTCAGTAAGGCCTCAATAGTCTGCCTCTGTACATCAGGATTTATAACACCAGGCTTCCCAAAATGATCATAACTAAAAACAAAATGCATAAAAAGATAAAAATCTTAAGAATGCTCCCTGGTACTTGCTTTTGTGAGGAAGCAAAAATTAAATTGTGCAGGGTGACTTTGACACACATCTTTCAAAATGAAAAGTCAAATTCACATGACATTAGATGTTTTATATTAAATACTTGTATCTTGCAAATGTTGTAGATTATATAATTTAGTTTGTTTTAGCCAAAGTATGTACCAATAATTCTTCCATACCAATGCACGAGTTACATATAAAACTCTCCCTGCCATGTAGAAGGTCTGGGGCTGAGCATATGAGATCAGATTTCCCAGTACACTTATGCTGGGATCACTAATTCATGAGAACCTACACAAAGGTTTCAATTCACCCACTGGATGTTGTGTTGCAGTCATAAACATAATTGACCTTTGTTATAGCATCTCACCTTGTAGGTTTCGTATCAGGGTCAGGAACTACACATGGCATGGCTGACTTGCTCTGAGCTGGCATTTCTGATTGTCTCTCAGCCAAGGCCAGCTGTAGGCCACTTACATCAAAGTTCTATAATAAAATGTCACAAACATCTATACAACACAACTTCTAGGACCTACAAGAGGGTCATGAACTTTACATGTACATATAAGAAGGAATTTGTTATAGACATGTTCAAAATGCAACAGGACATACCTGCATGCTACTGACATCCAGTTGGATAATTTGAGTTGGTGTTTTTTTGAACATCTGTGGAGGAAAAAAAATGCATAACCTGCGTAAGCGGTTTATGTAATTTTTTCTGCAACAGCTGCAACGTTAATTCCTGTACTAGCAACCAAAGAGAGACATTTTATTGTTTATATTTATATCTGTGCAAATATTCATTCAAAATAAGATTTAGTACATGAAATAGTATTATTGATATGCATGTCACTGTACGTTTCATTGATGGAACAGCCACTGCTCCAGAAATCTGTAGAGGTGATATGCTTAAGTGGTGTTTATGGACTGATGAAGGCCATGGTTTTCTTAAGAAATAAAGGAGATAATATTCAGTTGATGTAAATATTACATGTATATTAACAAAAGTTGTCCTAACAGAATACGCCCTCCCCTCCCCCACCCCCACATACTGCAAACCAACTATTATTTGCGATTCATCAGTCTAAAATCCATCTGCAACCATTAATTTCTTGCAACTGAGAAACATTTCACATCAATATTAAATTATTGGTTCACGACAAAAAATGCTTGTGAGTAAAAGAAAGTCGAAACTCACTGATATTTCTCGCACACAAATAAAAGATGGTTTACAGTGATAAAAAACACGACGCATTAAAAACACTCCAGATTAATGCACCCACAGTTCAGAAAACCATTTATTTGCACTGTACATAGTGTGTAAGTATCACATGTTTAGCTTATGAATCACTTAGGCTATTGTAAAGTGAAAACGGGCCTAAATCCTTTAAATAATAATTAATTCAAGCATAAAATTTAGGTAAGAATCAGGATATGGAGCAAATACATGTAACATCAAATCTGCAAGTTTAGTTTGGATATCTTGAATTGGAATGGACAGACACATAGATTTCTGTAATTGATTATAGTAGCTGATAAATTACTACACCTCAAAATCATGATTCATTGTGTTTCACAATAAAATTTAATGGCACTGAAAAAAAAGTTAGTAACTTTTCAAAATTAACTTTATCTTAAATTTCATCATAATATCTAGTACTGTTTTGTAATGGGAAAAGTTCAAATAAATGATGGATTAGAAAGATAATTATTGACCATTTATACAAATAATGTGATGCAGTAATGGAAATACACTGACATGAATGTGAACATAAAATTTACTCCCCCCACCCCACCCCCTAGAAATCCCTTTCAAGTTTATCTCTTGTATGGAAAAAAGAAGGTATACTTTGTGGCATTTTAATCAAATTTGATCTTTTCCCAACAACCAAATTATTATTCAATGAAAAAAGAAACTGGAATTCAATTTCAGAAACACTATAAACACACTCTATGCACAAGTGTCATCCATTGTTAAGTGTAGTTTGTGAACTGTCACAGAGAGTATTTGATTCAAATTAACATTTATAACTATAACTTTCTCATCAAGAACATGTCTATATCAATTTTGTAAAGCTAATCAAAAGATGTTAAGTATGTTTACAGTGTTTCAAATCAAGAAATGAAAGTCTGGACAGTACTTGTACTTGCCATTCTTGGAATCTGATAAATATCAAAATCTCGTGTATACATGCAGCTCTAACTATTTAATTGTTCTCTGTGTTGTTCTTACCATTACAGTGCAGTGAGCAACAAAAGGATTAGCCTGATGGATACAAGTTCACAGAAATCATCAAATAAGTTTAGTATGATAAAATCTACTTACAGAAGATTGCACATTAAAACTCCAGCATAGTTTGAATATATTAAATGTCTAAATTGTTTTTTTTTTCACAAATGGGATCACTGGGGGAAAAGTTCTTAAACTTAGTATGCCCTTTTCCTGTGTGTTAAATAAAGCAAAAATTTCTTTATCTTTGAGTCACATTTTAAAAATGAAATAATATTAAATATTAAGGAACTCAATAATCAGTGGATACTCAGGTAAATTTAGTAAGAATCACTAAAATAAAAATTAGTAAAGCTGTAGTAATATATTTCAATTTCAAACAATTTTCATTTAATATGTATATTAATTTCAACATTTCAACTCCTTGGAAAAATACATGTAGGTAGTTTTTTCTCTAATCCCCCATCAAGTTCAAGGTAATGAGGTTTTACTTTATTTGAGAATTTCAATGCCATCAAAATCAACCTTGCTTAGATGGTCTAGCCCACTGTACACATACTGCTAGGAGATAAGGTCTGCAAGTCTAGAATTCAACCCTGGGAAATATCCTCAATCTATATAATTTAATTTTGGATGTACTGCAATTTTTTGATCAGCTGAAAAAATTACTATATAACCTGTGTTGTCTATGTCACAATATGACTGATGTCAAGAACATATCAATTCGCTTGATGTTACATTTACATTTTGTACATTTGAAGTCGTTACTGGGGGGAAATTGTTTTCTTTTTTTACATTACACGTTAGAAAATTAAGTTATAAGGAATAAATTTAATAGCTATATCCAAGTTATACTTGATAACCTAGGTTGGAACAGTTCACTCTTTTTTATAAACTGTTTCACAGTTTTTAAAGTGTAAACTGTCCCAAATCAGGTTATACAGTATAACTTTGGTAGCAGTTAAATTCATTTCATAAATATTCTGTCTGTAAAATTTTCCTTTAATATTTTAATTAAAGTGTGAAGTACCTCTTTAGTTGGACTGGAGATGAGTTGTGAGAGGAAGTATCTCTCTGCTGGGGAGATGGCTGGAATTGCCCAGTGTAAGTCAAACTGTCCTGCTTCTTGGTTTTCAGTAGGAGGGTTCTGAGTATAGTAATAACAACATAAAATCTTTATCTAAAAATATATGTATGTGTACAATGTTATACACATTTACCATGAATCTATATATAAATACTGCTTCACAACTTGCTCAGAGATGCACTGTATATGAAATTGGAATTTTTCACCAATAAATAGATCAAAATACAATGCAGTTACCATGGCAAGATTTTCAAAGAAAGAAAAAAATAATGCTTACCAAAAGATGAACAAAGACAGTGGCAAATGGATTAGCAGCTATGGGATCTGTACGGTACATCTCATACAGAAGAAAGATGGCAGCCAACTTCTGTGTAGGGTGTGGCAGTAAATCTCGATTCTGGAGCAGCAATACCTGGAGAAATCAAGGAATTATTGCAACAGTTATCTTTAAACACTTTTATATATATTGATTTTAAATTGCATAAATTCAAAAAAAAATTAATTTTAAATACTTATTCTTTTAACATTTGAACAAACTAGAACAGATGTACAAGTAAAATAAAATAAAAAGAACTATTCAAAGTCAGCTTTGCTTCATTGTGATTAATAATACCCTAATATAGGATACATAAATAATTACATATAGATGATAATAAACTACTCCAAACTACTTAGGCAATATATAATTGCATTAATCAATTTAATAAAGAATACAACATACATATGTTGTGCTGATTGACATTGCAGTGTTGAGTGACAATAAAAGAGGAGATCCCATTGTTTATACTTACAATTGAAGATCCCACTTTGAAGTGATCTTGTTTGGTAAAGTAGTGGTGAAAACCAGTGGCTAAGTTTTCAAATGACTGTGTCTGGGTGGTGTCCTCAGAGAGGACGCTGTAAATGACAAGATGTGATGGTTTAATGTACATGGTTAGGTGTACGTTACGATGCTAGTCATGCTACTGTTGTCTCCATCTAGTGTTTGGCTAATACAGGGCTCTCACACCAGTTTTTGGGACTGGGGCCGGGACCATGAAAACTGGGAAACTGGGAAAATTATCGACCTTTTGATGAAATTTGGGAAAATCATAGCTAGACAATATCCATTAAATTCATTATATATTGAGTTACTGGTGGTTGTTATCAACTAAATTTCTGTTTTGTAATATAGAGAAATATAAATAACAAGTTTAGTAACCACACATTTTACTACATGTTCTTTAATATTTGATGAAGTGACCAATTGGGAAAATTAAAACATTAAATTGGGGAAAAAGGTACCTTTCTTGAATTGGGAATGGGGCCTTTAAATGGCCCCAATTATAGAGAATTGAGAGCCCTGTAATATCCCAGTCTTATTACATATTTTTATATATTTCTCAATAGAATGTATAGAGATGTTCTGGGCATTTACAGAGCAATACTAGCCTGCACTGTAAATGCCCGGGGACTACTTTTTTGTTTGTGATGTCAAAATATATTTTCCCATCTTCCCATTCCTAATAACATACATGTACATTTGGTGTCACAAATATCCTAAAACTGTCAGCTACTTATGATGTAAGGATGTTAATAACCAGAAATTGAAAAACTGAAGAACATCTGCAAGTGCTTTACGGTAGAAAGAGAACAGCTAGGGTGAGAAATCTGGAGGGGAGCACTGTACTATGTTGCTGCCAGTTACTGTTGTAAGTGGTATATTTGTTGAATGGCCTCATGCATCCATCGGGATGTAACAGGAATTGGGTGCATCAGTTCGGTCATCCACAGGCTTAGCGGGAGGCCACAGGTTCGAATCCCAGTCTGTCTGAATTTTTCCCTGTTTATAATATTTAGTGTTCAACAACCAAACCCCAAAGTGGTTTAGTAGAGTCTCTGTGAGGTTTTCAGGATGGAAAACCTCAAGAAAAAAGGGGGAAGAATGTTTGGTGTGTCTATAGATCAATTTTCATATTTTGGCAAGGAAATCCATTTTACTTTCGCATGGCACATCTATAGATGGATCATCAGACTTTGGCAAGACCATGGGACTTTGGTATCATTATATGTATGTATATTTATATATATGTACATGTATATATTTTTGTTTTCTTGCTTTGCATGCTTTGTAAGTGGAGGGCTGCAAATTTTAACTAGTACTTTGCACTCATGGCAAATTAAGCAGTGATGGATCTTCTTGTGCCAACACCTACTTCAACACAGATCTTAGTTAATAAAGGATTAATTTCTATATCCTGCAGAGGGATTCAAATTTGTGACATATGGATCAGACTTCTTACTTTACCTTCACAACTTGCTCTAATGACAGGAGTCAACAATTTTATCAATAAAGTGAAAATAAATAAGAAACTATAAATCCTACCAGTGATCTTCGCAAAGGATTTACGCCTTCCTCATCTATTTTCACTTCATTGATAAAATTCCAACTTTTGTGCTCTAATTACTACTCCATGCTGATGCAGGACTAAATAAATAATACATGTATATATATGTGCAAAGATGCAAAGTATACTTGGTTGCTTTTGCATGGTTGTAAAATAATAAAATTCAACACCACATGTACTTGGGTCTTGGTAAATATGTATGTACCTTATTGATATGTATAAAAGTACTTTTTGTACATGTCAATAAGGTACATACATAATCATAAACCAAGACCTAAGTACCTGTGTTCAACACATATAGATGCTAATAGGGAGTTATTTCCCTTTGACAATGACTGAAATTTTCTTCTCTTTTTATTGTGTGTTACCGTATATTTACCGATACAACTTTGTTAAGAAAAATAGAGGGTATTTCAGTTTTACCATGGCACAATTTATGCGAATTAGAATTTCATATAAATAGAAATACAAGAATATTTACCTGAGCAAAGATGCAAGTTCTTTCACGGAGAGCGCCATCTTGAAATTCAGAGACAAATCTCGCGTGATTTGATGATCATTGTTTTCATTCAGTGCCGTAACAAAGTGTTGTGCATATTAAAATCAACTTTTTCTGAAAAGTTTGAATACCTTAAAAGAAATTCATTAAGCAATTCCCTATAGATAGGCTAAAATAGGCGATTGATTATTGATCACGTGACCAATAAACGTTATTTGGCAGTACAGACGATTTTGTTGACATTAGTTATTTGCAGGGTTCCTGATTGAAATAAAAATATGGCTTTGATTTCGGGTATGAGTGATGTACGGGTTATAATCACAGTAGTTGCCATAGGAGGATGCTTACTGACTCTCTACCCAAAGGTCTTCGCCCCAATAGTCATGAACTTGTTTGGAGGAAGAACAAAAGACAGAGGAGTCCATAACAATCAGCCAAAAAGTAATTTAATCCAGAAGATTTTAGCTTCGTTAAATTCCAAACATTATGTGAAAAATATTATTGTATTATTGAGCATTATGTAATTTTAGGATCAGTTATGCTGCTCGACATGTAAGTGATGAAACCTCGGATGATGATGTTTTTGTTGATGATAATTTAACCCATTGCATTTATTGTTTTGATATTCAGTGCCCCCAAGAGCTCATCATCCACGTGGCCCTGGAGGAGGAAATGAAGGAAATCCTCGTCCGACAGGGATGCCACCTAATATGGATGCAGAAATTGAAAGACATATGAGGGTATTTTAATTCATTCAAAGCAATTATCATCGATATATATATCTGGGATTTTGATTAATATGTATTTACAGATAATTTGATTTAGGCTCTATATCCTTGCTCATTCCAGTCAGATGATATCCATAAGACATATTTATTATAAACTGTAAGACATACATGGTCCTGTCATATGCCATGACACTCTGAACCATGGCAACAGCTATATACATGCAGGTGTTTAACGCACTGAATATTATACAGACCGTAATGAATAAGATTCAACATTGTTTCTTTGGGTTTGATGTTATATTAACAAGGAAACCACATATAAATATTGCAGATAAACTTTTTTCTTGCACTGGCTATTATTGTTATATTTCAGCAGGGACCACACCCTGGAATGAGACATGCAGCAGAAATGAACAAACAACAGTCAAAGACTTCTAGTGGTCGGGGAGGAATGATGGGAATGGTACTTCCTGTTTATGCTGTGGGCATCATTGGTTACCTGATATATACACTGGTCAAAGTAAGGAATTTACACAGTCATAGTTATGTCCTAGTAATATTTATCAGGGTTCTCCATCATTTGAAATTTTACTTTGTTGCAGACTTTACGTGAACCACTAATATTTGCGGCATTTTCGCGTTCAAATTCGCAACTGCAACTGAACCACTATTCATTATAGTTACAAAAGCATATACAAACAATTTTTTTTTACTCACTTATTTGTTACACAAATGTTATGGTCGTGCATATTGATTAAAAAAATTAATTAATGGATATTTAAAACAATTAGAATGTATCCATATAATACTGTACATAAAATGTACTACATGTAGAAGATAAACCAATTCAGTGTAAACCCCCCCCCCCCCCCCCCAACTTAAAAAATAAGTACGATTAAAAAAAAACTAAAATATATTTGTATCACTATTTACAAGTTGTACGTATATATTAAACCTTGATATTTTTATGTATATAACTTCATGTTTCACACATGCTCTGAAGAGCAGAGGGAATTCTGGTCGATCATTCAATCTACAGTAAAGAATGTTTCCACTTAAGCATATTGCCATGGCCCCTTTTTGGGACCCCTCTAACATCATCTAATTAACTCAAATCTTAATTATTTTACACCTAATCCATATTTTGTTATCTGTGTGGTACATTACTTGCAAAAATTTTTACATTGAAAACGGCACTTTAATTTTATTAAAGGTAATTAAAAATGCCCACTAGTGGGTGTTAATTTCGGAATGTTGCGCTTGTCCGAGCTGGGTTTTAATTGTGTCTCATTAATATTCGGAGTGGGCGGAGCATTTCATCGATCGATTGAAAACATGTAATAGCCAGTTATATAATGGTTTCTGGGAACTACTCAGCAGGATATAATGAAAAAAATATACACAAAAGTAAACAAAAAGAACATGTTTAAACTTCTCAAGGATTAAGCCAGTTTTTTTTTGTTTTTTTTTGTTTTTTTTTCCTTTTTTTTTTGGAAAGAGGGGTGCGAGGGAGGATCTTGAAGATGTACATGTACTCCCTCCCTAAACCCAGATTTTCTCCCATTTTTGGTAGGTTCTGGTAGATCCTAGAAGTCGTATAATAAATAAACAAAATCTAGCAGCTTACTTAAAAAAACAACAGGTGAATGACAGGTTACTTTTGTTTCGAAAATATTCTTAATTTTAAATAGGGCAAGTTGCGATCGCAATTTAAGAAACGTATGTGGCATATACGTGGAAAATCAACACTAGATAAACCAGACCAACTTGTACATGTAAACACACATTTCACATTATTTTAATGGAAAAAAAATATAAAAGAAAAACAACTTATTCTGTATTTTCAAAAAGATTAGTGCCGTATCGAATTTTTAAAATAATATGAAACCCCCCCCTTCTCTATCTGTACTTAAGTACAGTAAATACTGGTGTACAGAATAACAATACAAAGCATTTTTTGCGATGCTGTTGTGATATTTAATCACTAAAACAATTTTATTAATTATATATCTGCTTGTTTGTTTTGTTTTGTTATTTTTGTTATTTTTAAGGTCTTCCGTTTTCACGGAAGACCTTATAGTGATTCTACTGTTTCTTCTTCTTCTTCTTATTTTTTTTTTGACCAAATTTTGTGCAGGCGTTTTCTCGAAAACTATTCATTGGTTCTCCGTGAAACTTTCAGGAAAAATTAGTCATTGTATGAACTTGTTTCATCACAAGAAAAATTTGGAAAATTCCATTTTGGTTCCAAGTTACGGGCAATATCCTGATTTTAAAATAAAATTTTGTCGCCCCTTTTTTTCAAGAATGGCTAAAGATATGAACTTGAGACTTATTGGAGAGCATAGAACGTGACTTCTAAATTTGCAGAATTGCATTTTTGGTCGTCGTCGGCACTTCCGGTCGTTTATGGAAGTGATCAAAGAAATCATGAAATTTCAACTTTCTTTTTTTAAATCAATACTTACATCACATTATTGCACCTCTTTTGTAGTTTCGAAATATGTTAGTCCCACCGGAAACAAAAACGTCAATTTCCGGTTATAAGAGAAAAACTACATAATTTGAGTATTTTTCTTTCCCATTAATATCCTTTGTAGTTAAAGTATTTGAAATGAATTTTAATTATGTTATTTAGACTGCAAATATCTAGGGTAATGTCAAATTTCTTTGTAAAATTCACTTCCGGTCGCATGTTTTCCTGTCCTCAAACTGAGAAGTTGTCTGAGCAAGATCTCGAAAATGGTAAGAGATTTAGACGAAAAAATTTAATTAGCAACAGACCTTAAGATGTAGGCAAAACCATTTGGGTTAAGATCGTCAGCCAATCTTCCGGTCGTCACAGGAAGTGATCACTTTATTGCATCTTTTTCGCAGATTCGAAAGATGTTGGTCCCACCGGAAACAAAAACGACAACTTCCGGTTATTAGAGGAGAACTACATAATTTGAGTATTTTACTTTCCCATCAATATTTTTTTTCTAGATAAAGTATTTGAAATGAATTTTAGATATGTTATTCAGACTGCAAATGTCTAGAGTAATCTTTAAATATCTTTCAAAAATTCACTTCCGCTCGCGTGTTTTCCTGTCCTCAAAATGAGTTGTCTGAGTGAGATCTCAAAAACAGGTGAAAGATTAAAACACCAAACTTTTATGAGTGATAGACCTTGAGGAGTAAGCGAAACCATTTGGGTTAAACGCGTAAGTCGTCACTTCCGCTTGTCACGGGAAGTGATCAAAGAAATCAAAATTTTATCTTTTCTTTTTTAAATCAAAACTTGCATCACATTATTTCATCTCTTTCGCTGTTTTGAAATATGTTAGATTCCACCGGAAACAAAAACGTCAACTTCCGGTTTTATGAGATAAACTACGTTATTTTTATATTTAACTTTCTCATAAATATTGCTTATCGATAAAGTACTTGAAATGATTTGATGTATGTTGTAAATACTGCAGATATCTAGAGAAAAGTCAGAGACTTTTTTAAATTCACTTCCGGTCGTGTGTTTACCTGTCCTCAAAATTAGAATTTGTTCTCACAATATTGCTCGGCAACAATGAACAACTGAAGTCTAAAACTTTCAGGACTGATAGTCAGTCATCAGTTTATATGAATCGTGAGAAAATCTTGTATCGCTGTTTCTTCCGGTCGTGACAGGAAGTGGTGCAAAAAAGTGACTGGTTAATGGTTAGCACGTTGGATTTTCACGCTGACGACCAGGGTTAATTCTCTAGAGTGTCTGAATTTCTTTTATCACTTTTTCAGCTTGAATTTTCGTATTTAATTTCTGAATCTAACGGAAGACCTCTCATTGCTCGCAATGAGTTTCTAGTTTTTATTATTATTTTTTTTTTTTGTCCAAGTAAGCTTTCCAGTGTTAAACAATCTATCCATACTTCTACCCCGTGTACCTATATTTTTACAATCAAAAACATTTTGAGGAATGATGCTATTACTAAGATATAGACTATGCCTTGGAAACTCATTGAGCCCCCAAGCGAACCCCTAAATCCAAGGACTAAAACTAAAATATCATTACATTTTGACCGATTTAAAATTCCATTACCCTCATCTGTCAAATATTTCTTATGAATGGTAGCATCATTATTTTTTTTGTCTTCAAATGTGGACCTAATACCTGAACAATATTAATATCCATTGGATGCCACTATTAATCATCGTTTCATGGCCGTAGGAACCGGGGGGGGGGGGCACAGAGCCCCCCCCCATAATTTTGCTGATATATAGAACACTATAGAAAACATAGCTACCATACACTTGTGCCCCTTCAATAATTACGTCGGATGCCCCCTTCCCCCAATTTTTTTTTTTTTTTTGCTTGTCAAGGAATTTTTGGTAGTTGATAGTGCCTCCAACTGAAAATGTATGGCTGTGCCCCAAAAACTGAAATTGCTTCCTACGGGCATGGGTTTTACCAAAAAAGGAATTTTTTACATACCTAAGAACTCCTTTGTATATATTGAATGAACACTTCTGAAATCAATATCAGATGTATGTTTTAAGGAGGCTGGGGGGTCAACAAATTAACCACCAGATTTAACTTAATTTTTTAGATATGATTTCTTAAGCTGTCAACTATCATTTGGCAAAGAAAAATTTCAAAAATTTTAGTTTTAAAATTTGATCATTTTCTATACCTTCATATGGAGCTCTTCTTCTAAAGGAGATCAATATAATCTAAAAATGGCCACAACCCCCCAGCCTCTTTAATTTAAAGAATATTTTGTTAAGAAAAGTAACCGGAATTTACTCATTTAGTAGAAGGGTCAGCCTATTTTAGCCCTCTCCCTACATCAAGGTCAACGTAAATACATAATTGATGTAAAATAAACAAAGCAAAAATGTAGAAAATGTACCAAAAAGAAGGGGTGAGGAGAAAAATTAAAAAAATACTAATAAGCAAAATTACAGAGAAAAATAGGCAAAATTATAGGAAAAAAATACCGGTTTGGAAATATTCAAAAATGTTAAATTACTTACAAAATAATGAATATTTTAGCAAAACTTGGCACTACTAAAAATACTGGGAAGAAAAAAATAATTCGATGTTGATCAATTGAAAATGTAACGGTCTGCATTGCTAATCGCAGCGAAAGCCACGTGATTTATTGATTTTTTTTGTATTCACAAAGTTACCCGAGTCCACAAATCATGTGATAAATTGGAATATTTAACAGGTCATAATGAGGTCAATGACATGTAAATACCCGTGAATAGTAAAGTGTTTTGTACCTTTTTTCAAAAAGTTTACCCTGAGCGCAGAAATCTCCTTTAAATATGATGAATTTCCAACAGTTATACACCTTCTGTCCTTTTGAGGAATTTGGGCAACAATGCGCTCACCATGTATTATGGCTTTAAAAATCGGAATAACTTTGAATATCAATGAAGATTCGTGAATTGCAGTGACCCCTCTTACAAAACACAGTTTCGTTCTTTATTTTCATGGACTTTTAATTCCTGTAATTTCGCAAAGTTGCGATTTAGACATAGAAGAATCGCATTATTCATCTATTGGGGCTATTTTCTATACTTTAATTTTGCGCAAATTACCGGGGGCCACGTTTTGTACACTAAGTGCAATCATTCTTTGCCGTGATTTTTGTCAGTTGATCGAATTACAGAATTTTAAAAAAGAAACATATGATAATAAAATACTTTTAGGGGTTGCCTTTAAATTCTTGAACAATACATTTACATCCATGAAATGATTCCAATACGATGTTTGACTCACATCTGCAGTGCCAACATGATACTAGAGATGACCATGTGGTTCTGAAGTATAAAGACATGTATTCATAATAATGTTTTAATTTTTTTCAAAATTTGAAATAATATTTAAAAATGCAACTAGCAGTTATACGGTTACATGGAAGTGTGAAAACAAATTATTTGTCTTTGTTTCTTCATGTGTAAAGTCCAGCGGGGTCTAGGAGATAATTGATTCTGCAAGGTGAAGCAAGACAAAGTGCCCTAATGAGGAGATAATTAAGGACCTTCTATAATAATAATAATAATAATAATAATACTTTATTTAAAGAGGGTAACCCGATTAGTGCAAAGCACTAGTCTTCCTCAGGGCCCTCTATGCATGTATAGTACAAATATAAATACAACAGTATAATAATCAGAAAAATACAAGTATATGACATAGGTGAAATGCATTTGAGAAAAGTATATATCATTAAAACATAGAAACAAGTTACAAATTAAGAAATGTTGTGTCCATTGATGATAAATTTTTCTACATTTTTACGAAAGGATTGTGAAGTTGATGAAAAACGTACATGTAGTGGTAATTTGTTCCATAAATGAACGCCTGAATATTGAAAAGAATTTTTAAACATATTTGTTCGATACTTTGGTAGACTAAGGTCATAATTGGATTCAGAACGTAGGATATAATTATTAGAGGAAATGAATTCAAAGGAGTCTCTCAGATAATCAGGTGCCATACCATGAAGTGTTTTATAAAGCAATGTGTATTTGTTAAAATCTATCAATTCATATATAGTCAACCAACCAAGTTTCACAAATAATGGTAGTGATGGAGCATCTGGTGCCACAACTAATATAATTCTGGCTGCTCTTTTTTGTAATTTAAAAACTCTTTCTATGCCAGCACCTGGAGCATTGCCCCAAATAGTCAAACAATAATTCAAAGAAGGCAGAATATATGCATTATAGAAAAGTTTTCGTGTGTGTAATGGGAGAAATTTTTTGATTTTACGTAATGTAAATAGTTTATATGTCAAGGACTTGCAAACAGAATCAATATGACTATTATAGCGCAATGAATGATCAATATGTACTCCTAGGAGTTTTTCTGATTCAACATTTTTAAGAACTTTGTCTGATACACACAAATCTAGTTTTGAAGATGTTAACTTAGATTTTCTATGTTGAGTTCCCATAAGCATACATTTTGTCTTATCAATATTCAACATCATTTGATTTCTAGAACACCAGTTTTCAATCTCACACAAATCATCATTTAGGGCATTTTCAATAGAATGCACATTATTATGATATGTATGTAAAGTTGCATCATCAGCAAACAAATCAATATCTGTATTATTTACATGTAGAGGAAGATCATTTATATACAGTAAAAATAAAAGTGGCCCTAAAATAGAACCTTGAGGCACACCTGCTGTGACGGGCAAGAAGTAAGAGGAATATGTACCTAGTTTTACACATTGTGTCCTGGAGCTTAAATAGAGGAAATATTTTTTGGACATTGAGAAAATTATAGTGTGTAAAGGTGTAAGTGTTGAGCTTATCTATCACATTTTCAGCATAGGGTGCCTTGCATTTACCCCCAGGAAAAATGTTCAAAGACAATGAAGTACTGATGAACATAAATCACTGTTGTTTACTTAAGTGGGCAAAATATCTGCAAATGAAGTATTCTATCTATTCACCTTGGCTTATTAAAGTGTTATGAATGCTTGATTTGATCACAAATTAAGTAATAAATTGTCCATTTCAATTTATTTTATTCTTGATCAAAGGGCAGATCACTCTATTTCCATAAAAATACCACAAAATCAGAACTCTCTAGTGTGCAGTGTATAGAGGGCTCTTAAGTGCTCTGCCTTAAAAATTGAAAGACGGTAGATTTGTTTGATTAAAGTCTCAGTGAGAGAGAATTAGTGTTCTGAATATCTGATTATCACAGATCTTACTGTGTCGCAAAATTTTTACTGTGTCGCAGGTATAAAATTTGAATTGTTACTGTGTCGGGCCCGACACAGTAAAACAGCTCATGGAGAACCCTGATTTATGAATTGTCTTCAATTTAGTTTATTTCTTGAATATTGCTTTTTTGAAACACAATGTATTAGGCCACTTAGTGGGGACTGAGTGCTGGAAAATACGTATCTGTGAATAAGCATTAGATTTTCCAAACTTGAGAGAGAGCTTGATTAGTAATGTAATTATGTTCACATAACCCCAGCAATCTGAGGACATGCTGTCTTTGGGACTTCTTATGCATGAAAAATGTATGTTTAACATTCTAATTGAGGTATTCAAATCATTATTTCAGGTCTTTAACAAGAAGAGTAAAGGGGAATATGACAAAAAGCCTGGGTATGGGAGGGTGAAAAACAAAAGCCCAAACACATCTGAGGAGAGTTCTGTAGTGGAGGAGGCATCATTAAGTGATCTGAAGGAGAGCAGTGCTAAACTGTCAGAGCTGGAGAATCTATTAGCTAAAGCAGATGATAAAAATATAAGTAAGAAAGCAACTCATTTTATGTGAATAAATTTGCACTTGATGTCTGCAGTAAAACAAAGAACAATTCAACATACACAAAAAATCTTATATATATATGTAGATGTACAAATTTCTATTTTTAGGTCACCTAAGTCACTCAGGTGACCTATTGCTATCCGTTCTTGTCCGTCGTCTTGCGTTGTGTGTTAACATTTGAACATTTTTAGCTTCTTCTCTGAAACCGCTTAACCAATTTCAACCAAATTTGGCATATAGCATCTTTGGGTGAAGGGGAACAAAAATTGTGAATTTCATGGTCCTTGCCCGCCTGGGGCCTGAGGGGTGGGGCTAAAACCACCAAAAATAATGCAATCTTTAAAAATCTTCTTCTTTATGCCTGGACATCAAGCAGTCAAACTGTTGGCATGATTGTAATAAGGATTGAGGCCTCAACCAAAATTGTGAAATTCATGGCCCCAGGGTCAGGGGTTCTGGTGTTAGGGCGGGGCTCTATTGATTTTATAGTGAAAATGCATTAATTCTTTGAAAATCTTCATCTCTGCTCCTGGGTATTAAATAAAGTAATAACTAAGTATGTAGTTATGAAAGCATGAGTGCCTCTTCCAAATTTGTGAAATTCATGGCCCCAGGGTCAGGGGTTCTGGTGTTAGGACAGGGCTCTATTGATTATATAGTGAAAATGCATTAATTGTTTGAAAATCTTCTCTGCTCCTGGGTATTAAATAAAGTAACTATTAGTAAGTATATAGCTATGAAGAGCAAGAGTGCCTCTTCCAAAATTGTGAAATTCATGGCCCCAGGGTCAGGGGTTCTGGTGTTAGGGCGGGGCTCTATTGATTATATAGTGAAAATGCATTAATTGTTTGAAAATCTTCTTCTCTGCTCCTGGGTATTAAATAAAGTAACTAAGTACATAGTTATGAAGAGCAAGAGTGCCTCTTCCAAAATTGTGAAATTCATGGCCCCTGGGTCAGGGGTTCTGGTGTTAGGGCGGGGCTCTATTGATTATCTAGTGCATTAATTCTTTGAAAATCTTCTTCTCTGCTCCTGGGTATTAAATAAAGTAACTAAGTACATAGTTATGATGAGAAAGAGTGCCTCTTCCAAAATTGTGAATTTCATGGCCCCAGGGTCAGGGGTTCAGGTGTTAGGGCGGGGCTGTATTGACTATATTGTGAAAATGCATTAATTCATTGAAAATCTTCTTCTCTGCTCCTGGATATTAAATAAACTAACTAAGAATATAGTTATGATGAGTGAGAGTGCCTCTTCCAAAATTGTGAATTTTATGGCCCCACTGTCAGGGGTTCTGGTGTTAGGGCGGGGCTCACTTGATTATATACATGTAGTAAAATTGCCTTAATTCTTTGAAAATCTTCTTCTCTGCTCGTGGGTATTAAATAAAGTAACTAAGTACATAATTATGATGAGCAAGAGTGCCTCTTCCAAAATTGTGAAATTCATGGCCCCAGGGTTGGGGTTCTGGTGTTAAGGCGGGGCTCTATTGATTATATAGTGAATATGCATTAATTGTTTGAAAATCTTCTCTGCTCGTGGGTATTAAATAAAGTAACTAAGTATATAGTTATGATGAGCAAGAGTGCCTCTTCCAAAATTGTGAATTTCATGGCCCCAGGGTCAGGGGTTCTTGGTGTTAGGACGGGGCTCTATTGACTATATAGTGAAAATGCATTAATTCTTTGAAAATCTTCTTCTCTGCTCCTGGATATTAAATAAACTAACTTGAAGAACATAGTTATGATGAGCATGGCTGCCTTTTCAGAAATTGTGAATTTTATGGCTCCTGGGTCAGGGGTTCAGGTGTTAGGGCGGGGCTCTATTGATTATATAGTAAAATTGCATTAATTCTTTGAAAATCTTCTTCTGTGCTCCTGGAAATTGAATAAACTAAGTACATAGTGACGATGAGTTATGATGAGCATGGTTGCCTCTTCCAAAATTATGAATTTCATGGCCCCTGGGTCAAGGGTTCTGATGTTAGGGCAGGGCTCTATTGATTATATACTGAAAATGCATAAATTCTTTCAAAATCTTCTTCTCTGTTCCTTGGTATTATTCAAACAAAGGAAGTGCATGGTTATGATAAGGAAGAATTTCTCTTCAAAACTGTGAAATTCATGGTACCTGGGTCAGGGGTTAGGTGAAGGGGGGGGGGGGGGACTCTATTGATTATATATTGAAAATGCATAATTTCTTTCAAAATAAATTATTTTTTTTCTACTACTGGTTATAAAGCAAAGAAACAAGTGTATAGTTATGATGAGCAAGGGTGCTTCTTCCAGAATTGTGAGTTCATGGCCCCTGGGTCAGATGTTCTGGTGTAAGGATGGGGCTTTATTTATTTAATAATATAGTAAAAATGCATTTCTTTGAAAATCTTCTATGCTTCTGGGCAAACAAAGTAGAAGTTTTAATATGCAAAGGTATTTTTACCAGAATTTTGAACACCTTGACCATTTAGTCAAGTGTCCTGGTTCTGCCCAGTGTTCTATTAACTTGTATTCTGCTGAGCAAAGTTATACCCCTTTGCCATTCACCTTTGATAATTAATCACTGTAAACAATGTATTTGAAAGGTTAATAGAATATGAGAATTATGCAAGAATATTTATTGTAAAATAAAAAAAAATTACTTTCACAGTTTTAATGATCAGGTAGACTTGGAAGTAATAAATGAATAAAATTGAGACAAAAATAACTTATCTTTTTAAATGTTCTTCAAAGGCCAAGAGAGGCCAATGTGAGAGGTTACAATATGGGGTTAAAAAATAAACATTTTGTTAAGTAGTCTGCATGGTAATAGTGATAAATGGGGGACAGATAGATACTAGACCAATTATTTTGTTGATGCTAATCAAACTGTATTTTTTGCTTTTGGGCAACAAAACTTCATTTATCAGTTCATGGATCCTCTAAATTGTTGTATTGTACTCAGGTGTCCGTTAAGGCCCTTGAGCCTCTTGTGTTTCTCATCTCAACTTGATTTGTCTCGACTTGATTTTGATATACAGTTTAACTTTGTTATCTCAATCACGAATATATCGAATACCAAGGTTATGTCGAAGCCGCATGGAAGTTCCAACTACTCTATATCATGTGTATTTATTTTAACCTTGTTATCTCTTATCCTTGGATATCTCGGAGTTTTTTCTCGATCCCATCAAGATCCTAATAACAAAGTTTGACTGTACATGTATATATTGTACAATACTCTTTGAAAAGATCCAACATCAATTTTACGTAATCAAGAAGCATTTTCCTTAGTAATTTTATGGTGGTCCTGAAGCAAGCTCTTATTGTGGACCCTTCTGTATTGATTATATTAGGTGCAGATGAAATGAGAGCTCTTCAAACAAGATTAGAAGAAACAGAGAAACAGATGGCCAGGATTCTGAAAGCCATGCAGACAGTGTCCTCAAAAGTGACAGATGTCATTGAATCCAAAGAAGTAAGCAGTACATATATATTATGTAAATTAGATAAATATAAAGGAACAAGTGCAGTAAATGTACCATGGCTCAAGAAGAGTGATATCGGATGCAAAATTGAATGATACTAGTATTCATATTAAAGATGGATATTTATAAACTTGTACCTGTATACTGACGTATATTTATTAATGATCTATATTACCCCCCTCCCCCAGTACTTTTATAAGGAAATTTACAAAAAACTTTTAGCTTATGTTGTGATATATAGCATGTGAATGTATCATTGCAAGATTATTTTTATGTACCACCATGACTCACTTATGACCTTGACCTTTGACCTCAGAGATAATAGTCAAATTACTATTTTTTGAGTAAGGAAGCTTGTACAGACTGAATTTATTTATTTTTTGACCTACTCTTATGATAATGGATATGTAGAATTACCAATAAAAGATAAATTGTCATGATCCACATATAATCTTGACCTTTAAAATTGATGTCAAAGTACAAACATGTAGTTGTATTTTAGCAAGTCTCTCTGGAATAAACTTTTAGTGATCAGTTGTGGCCAATCATTAATTGATCAAGCCAGAAGCACCTTACAAATCGGTGTAACTACAGAATATTTTGTTTGATATGGATTTGCAACTGTTGTAAATTTTTCATGACATTTTTCATAGCAATCACTTCGAGATGCAAAACATTTGTACTGTCAGATGTTTTCTCTATGTGCACAAGAATTTTGTTCACTTCTGAAACAGAAGTACACCCTTTCCTTTTGGGACAAATTTTAGAATGTACTTCAAATATGCAGGTAGTGTTTGGGGGGAAGTTAATTCATGAGGTTATTGTTACTGTTCTGAAGATTCTGTGTCATTTCTCTTACTTTTCAAAAAAAGATTTTGGAGAAGGAGTTAACACATCTGAGTAGTATGTTTTCAGATCAATTCTTATAACAGGAATACTTGTTTATCTTTTAGTCCAGGATTATTCTAAGTGGAATGTGAATGTATTGTCTTTTTATTTTTGTCAAGGCTTTCAGTCAAAACCAACCTATGACATTGACCTTTGTTATCACTCAGGCCTCAACATTAAAATTTGTCTGTCTGTGTCCAGTTTATTTTGTGATCGGATAAGTCAATCTCCAGATTCACTTGTCTGATCAGACAAGTTTCCATAAGGGAATATTGTGAACATGAGAAGTAATCCCCACTGAATTCATTAAAGACTGATTTTTTCCAAAATCACAAACTTCAAATCAGACATGGATTTGGTTAATGGAAGAAGACAATCAAGACGGTTACAGACAGTGCTACTGTATCTTACGTCAATAATGTTTTTATTTTCACATTAAACAAATCATTACACTCAATATTTTTTTGAACTACTTCATTCTTGAAAATAATGTTCTACTAATTCCTTAATATCTGCTCAGAGATGGACAAGTATTCTATAAATTTGGATAAGTAAGTTTTGTTGGCAATTTGTCCAATGGGCAAGCATGTATTTTAGGTAATGTTGAGCCCTGTAACTGTCCTACCAAAATTTTTTTGGGCCAGATTTTTTCTATCTTTCAGTCTAGTTTTAATATATTGAGGTTGTTGCTTAAAAAATGTCTTGACCCATAATGCCCCTTGGACTTTGAATTAATTGGAAGTGGAGACATATTTCTTTGTGTTCTAAAACAACAATTCTAATTTTCCATCGTTTGGCAGGAAAATGTAGATTCTGACGATAAAGTAAATAGTGACTCTGAGGAACGGTCCTCACAGCAAGGAGAAGAGAGTGAGGAGGAATCTGAACACGCTGAGGACCAAAAAGAAAGTAAGACTCCAAAGGAGAAGGACAAAGAGGAAAAAGTTATTCTTTTGGATGGACAGAAGGACAAGGATTCTGAAGAGGAATCGGGGGTTCGCCAGAGAAAAGTCCAAGTTGAAGAGAAGGATAATTGAGGTTTTTTGGGGGTGTAAATTTGGTGATGTGCAATTTTTTTTTTTACAGATAGTTTATGTTTTGAATAATCAATCAATACAATTAGAATTTTAGAATGCTTATGTCTGTCAGATCTCCTTGAAGATGATTTTGAAATTTTACATTAACAACTAACCAATATTTTAATTCTTGCTTAACACACTGTAAGTACAAATTAAGGCTAAGTCTTAATACATGTATGCTGTAGGAAGTTTTAGAAACATCTCTCTTTTTTTTTTAAATTTTTTTTTATTATATTTGATTAAGATAAATAGGTGATTGGTGTATGGCTTGTCACTAATACAAATATTGATGCTCAAGATTTCTCAAGTATTATGCACCAAGAATTGTTTGATTTTGCAGTGTGTTTGCACATTTCAAGTTTTTATAACTACCCAAAATGTGATGCTTTGTTATGGTTAATAAAATTTTTGTGATGGTCTCATGTTTTGTATTTGTTGGACTCAAAAAATATTAAAATTGTTCTTTAAATCTTCAAATGAGAAAAGTTTACATTAAAAAAAAAAAATCAATTGTGTGGTTTAAAACCAATAAATTATTGTGATACAAATGGGCTTTGATGATCTTTCATCTGATTGCATTGCCCATTGATATATTTTAAATTTGAAATACCATGCATTATGTGTTTGTGTTCATAGCAATGATTATTGATTTTTTTTGTATTTGATATTGGAAAAAATACAACAATGTATAATTTTCCTTGAATAGAATCTCAACGTGACCAAATAGATTTTTTTAATGTAACAATTATTACTGCACCATACCTCTAGCTAAGTTTGTTCTTCCTCTGAAATCACATTTGTCTAACTTGTGAAATCAACAACTGCTTTATATACAAGGTACATCATTAATCTCAATTTTATTTATCATGTACATGTATTTCAATGTTAATTGAGTACAAGGATTGATCAGTTTTTCACATTAAGTCTTTGGTGTTATTGAATGATTTGTTAATGATTACAGTCAGTATATTCAGTATCATTAATAACTCATTATGTAGAAGGAATATATTAAACCAAATATAAGATCAGGCTCCAGGATCACGAAACAGACTTAGACTTAAGTCAAATTTATAATAGTCTGTAAAATGTTTATTAATTACTGAATTAATCGCTAAATTTGCAGAGAACAACACTTTAGTGAAGTTAAGAAATATTTTAATTTTGGTCTACTTCACTTCTACAATATATTAGTACATCATAAAGATTTGGACTTAAGCTTAAGATGTTTCATGATCCCGGGGCCAGGTCTTAACTTAACACCTTGATGTACCACATCCAGTGATATTGTTCATAGATGATCTTACTTGATTTGTTGGTTCTATTTTTCTGTGTTATGATGTAATTGTTCCATGACAACTACCTATATTTAGAAGGATATGTACATATGTAGTCCCAAAGACCCTTTATTTAAATACTTTACATTTTATTAAATACATGTATTTATGTGTTTTGAGATTTCATTTCTTTTGTTTACACATTTTTATTTTCTTTGTTTTGTCTACTGCTTTATTTACATAAAAATTTTACACTTTATCATAAATTATTCATATTTAACACTCATGTAATGAAGGTGAATTTAACATGTAATAAAAATGTGTTAAAATTTATACCAAGTGTGTAATTTTTCCTAAAATCTTCATTCAGTTTACATGTACGAGTATTTTTCTAGACATTACATGACACTGACCCAGTACTTGGCATTTATTAAACATGTTTGGTTTAGGTACTGCAAGTGCTTTAATCTGATATAGATGTTCACACAGTTGAACTCTGGTATCTTGAACATTCAATCTTTCGAAAACTATAAAAATGTAAAAGTGAGTTTGAAGTCCCAACCACATTTTCTTTATGTAATTTAAGCTCAATATCTCAAACTCTTGGAAAAAGAAACCATGAGGAAAATATAAGTGATGTCTGATCACTCCTCTACTGCAAAAAATTGGAACAAATATACCTTTCATTTATATGAATGTGCCAGTGAAATTTTTGCTGATACATATTCATGGAAAACAAGTATAAAGTTACTTAGTCAAGGAAAATGAATAGATTTGCCCATGTATTAACACATCTCTGTTGCCCATCTATTAACATATCTCTGTTTCCCATTAATTAACACATCACTGTTGCCCATGTATTAACACATTTGTTGCCCATTTAATACCTTTCTGTTGCCCAATTATTAACATGTCTCTGTTGCCCATGGATTAACATATCTCTGTAGCCCATTTATTAACACCTTTCTGTTGCCCATTTATTAACACCTTTCTGTTGCCCATGTATTAACACATCTCTGTAGCCCAATTATTAACACATTTCTGTTGCCCGTTTATTAATGCCTTTCTGTTGCCCATGTATTAACACATCTCTGTAGCCTATTTATTAACACCTTTCTGTTGCCCATTTTATTATACATCTCTGTAGCCCATTTATTAACACCTTTCTGTTGCCCATTTTATTATACATCTCTGTAGCCCATTTATTAACATCTTTCTGTTGCCCATTTATTAACACATCTCTGTTGCTCATTTATTAACACCTCTCTGTTGCCCATTTTATGAACACATCTCTGTTGCTCATTTATTAAAACCTCTCTGTTGCCCATTTTATGAACACATCTCTGTTGCTCATTTATTAACATCTTTCTGTTGCCCATGTATTAACACATCTCTGTAGCCCAATTATTAACACATTTCTGTTGCCCGTTTATTAATACCTTTCTGCTGCTCATTTTATGAACACATCTCTGTTGCTCATATTTTAACACCTTTCTGTTGCCCATGTATTAACACATCTCTGTAGCCTATTTATTAACACCTTTGTGTTGCCCATTTATTAATACCTTTCTGTTGCCCATTTTATTATACATCTCTGTAGCCCATTTATTAACATCTTTCTGTTGCCCATTTATTAACACATCTCTGTTGCTCATTTATTAACACCTCTCTGTTGCCCATTTTATGAACACATCTCTGTTGCTCATTTATTAACACCTTTCTGTTGCTCATATCTCCACACATCTCTGGACACATTCAGGACATTTAAGGATGACAGATTGTTGAGGTGAAACATGATAGCCTTATCTGTTCAGTACAACTCTCTGTATAAATCTCAATAGTCTCAGATTGGTTAACATTCAGAATCCAGATGATCTGAATAGTGTATGTAAGTACAATGTGAGTAAAGTCATAATGAAATTAACTTACTGTCGCAAAATGATTGAATACATAATTTATATATTAATACTGATTGACAGATTATCCCTGTTTTCACCACTCCAATCAAAATTTACAACACCGTGTATTTCTCTATCTATTTTATTTTCCCTTTTGCATTATCCATGCATAAATTAGCCCCCAGGGCTGAAAAAAAAAATGAAAATGTACAAAGTTATACATTAAAAACTTTCTAGCTTATAACAGAGATACAACTTTTTTATAGGATGGGCAGGAACTTCATAGATTTACAGTTCTTATGTAACAAATCTGAACTGCAATGGACGGACATTAAAGTGTACAATATTTATAAAAATACAAAAGTAAAGATAAATATTAAAAATAAAAAAAAATCTATACATAATAAATATATTTTTTTTTTCAAAAAGTTGTGGTTGTTCAAAATGCCCCTTATTTTACAGTTGTTAGAATTTCAACTCTATGGTGCAATAAAAGTGCAGCTAACAAGTGCAAAAAAATTTACTTTGTCCCAATAATCAGTTATTACAAACAATTGTTATAAAATTGGACAATATCTAAAATCACAACCAAGAAAACCCTTGTATAAAAAGAGACAGATTCTCCTGCTACAGTAAGAATTATTCAAGCTGAAAACTACTCTGCATATAAATCTATGGAAATGTAAAACTCTTGAGTATTCACTAAATAAGCAATGAGACTAATTGCATTGTAAAAATCTGAATTTTTCTCTCCATTTTTGTAAAGTTATTCATTCCCATGTCTTTTTGTTCCAAACCCTTCTTCAAATTCAGCCTGACCTCCTCCTGACCTTAATTACAAATACACAAAGTTTCCATCTAATTCTCTCATTCATACTTTAGATTTATAGATGTACATATAAACTTTCCCTTTCAACATTCTTTTTTAAAATGGCAAATGCTCAGACAATATGACTATTTTTGACAGAGAAATTAATTCTGTAAAATAAAAATGTATTAAATTCAAATCAAACACTGAAACACAGTTTACAGAAAACAAATGCATTAAATTGTTCACATAAATTAGCACATATTGATATGGTTCATAAGTACCCTGATATTCAATTCTTCTTCTGTAATGTCATATGTTGTGGTCTTGTAACCCTCATGTCTTTTTTTCAGACAAACTAAAACAAATCAGTTTTAAAGCTCCACATAAAGATACTATATAAAAGTTATACACAAACAACAGCCCCTACGTAGAAGTAAGTACAAAAATGCTGCAGATAAGTCTAAGGATTAGGAAACAAAGAACATGGGCACAAGGCACCATTGCCCTAAGTACTAGTGGCACAAACAAATGGGTGGGGTCAAGGTCCCTTTTTGGTTGTTGGAGATAAACATGTCATTCACACACTCTATATCAAGTCCATGCTGGAATCTAGCTCTTGGAGAACTTCTTAACATGAATTTCGATGATTGGAAACCAACAGATATTCTACAATCCTTTAAAGCTTATGACAGAGGGTCCTAACACTGGGAAACAACAAAGGTAGGTCTCTACAAGCTTCTATCAAGCACTAACAAGTTTATGTATTTTCCAGAAGTTGCACATGTGAGTGCTGGTGTTGCTAATTCATGTTGCTGGTGGTTTTGCAGACTGTGGTCTGTTTGTTGTGGTAGATTTGTTGTCTTCTGCTGGTGGAAGAGCAAGACCTGGTGGTCCGAAAGGATCGACCTAGGAAAATATAAAATTCTACCATCAAAACAGAGATTTACGTAGGTTAAACTAATAGCATTAAAATGACAGAGTTTCTTTGGTCTTCTTTGCAAACTTGAAAAAGATAATAAATGAAAACATGTTTAGATGCTGTAACTACTTGTCATCTGCATCTGGTTACAAGACATATTTTAAAAAATTATACTTTGATATTTAACACTATCTGAAAGTATTATAAAAAGAAAAAAATTATAAACACTATTTGATTCAATCATTTTGTTTATATGTTAACTCTATAGCACCTGACATGTTTGCTCTTACATTGACTGTAGGGTTGACTGGAGCCGTCACCACTAAATCTGTAGCACTAGGTCCATACTGCTTCCGAGCTCTACCCCAATTTGCCTTAATCTCTATTCCATCGAGTGCATTCTTGGGTTTGCTGAATGATTTTCCCATAGAAACACAAAGCAATTCATCCTTATTGATTTCATTAAATTTTTCCACCTACAAAAATGAGAAGTATGCATTAAATGCATTAATATGTAATAGTTCTATTGTTTAAAAATGTTGTTTATTATATTTCAACTGATTAGAATATAATTTATATGTACACATAAAAATGTGGTTATAATTGAACAAGGATATCACTTGGCTATAAAACTTAAATACCAGAAAGCCTGTAATTTTTTTTGTATCAGATGTATTCTAAATGACAGAACTAATGATTTGCGTACCTTCTTGCCCTCCATATTGTAGATAATCCTGGCTTGACCCCATAGCCCCAGTTTAATGGTGGCATTGTCCAGAATTTCCTCTAGTGTCTCTCCCCACACATACACTGCCCTCTCTACACTTTCCCCATTTGGAAATACCATCACTCGTTTCTAAAGGACAAGTCAGTGTTTAGTATATTAATTAAAAGATCCTTGATCTTCAGAGGTATGGCAAATCTAGGCAATACACAGAATTTATGAACTTAATTCTGTGTATTGTCTAGGGTAAACAAACTATGATGTATAATTATATTGTAGAACACTTAATGTATATTTTATGACCGTATATCTATAACATACAAAATGATACAACTCTAAATTACCTGCAGTAAAATTATAGAAACAGAGAAAAGTGAAACAAGTTTCTCTATACATCAAAAGACATAGGTTTCATTACGTGTTCTAGTAACCATTTTCCCTCCAACTTGAGTTCCTTAATCTTTTTAAATGTCAAAAGACACATGACTTGAAAAAAAATTAGGAACTCAAGTTGGAGAAAAATCAACTAAAGAGAAGGTATTATGCAACCCTTTTCTCCCTTTGCAAAAATGAATTTCTAAAAAGTTTGTGTCCACTTATTTATTACTTTGTGGATCACTGCAATTGCCAAATGCTTCACATTTCATTACAATAAAATCAAATGCTTGCTAAGGGTTCTCTAACATGACATAGAACAAAAAAGAATCACTGACTGGAAATGATGAAACAGGAGCAATGTGAGAAAGAGCATCCTATATATTTTTGCTTGTTTTCCTTACCATGTCTGGTTGCTGGTACAGGCGTCTGTTTGTGTTAACACTGACTGTGCGGATCTTCTCTTTCTGGACAGCCTTGACCTCTGCAAGGTGTGTCTCCAGTTTGTGTATAGTGTCATGCTTGAGTTCCTCAGCTACGGTTGGTTCCTGCCAGTTGTTTTCCACAATCACGGGCTGCCGGCTGCTACGGGTAGGTTTATACTCCCCAGGGTTCTGGGACTCAATTCTACGTCCTGAAATCGGAAATACATGTGACAACTTCCTGTTTGTAAACTCAACAAAAAAATCTCCCCCGTTTTTTGGAATCTAGTCTTTGTGTAGTATTAGAATATATATATAACCATCATACAAAATTTTACATCAGAAGATCTTTTAAATCTGTATAACTTTGTTTTTCATTCATAATTCCCCAGTATTTATCCATCAACCACACTGAGCATCAATTCTGTTATTCCCAAAATTTCCTTTATGTTTTATTTTTTCATTAGGAAAGTTCAAAGGAATTGTAAAGAAGATACCTTTCATTTGCCTTAGGATATGCTTTTCCATATCCAGTTCTAAAGACACAGCTGATCGGAAAGCACGTCTCTTCTTACGATTTTCCATTTTAGTCTCCACCTTTTCAGGAGGGAAGAACTCCTGGCCTGAAGAGACCCAGACCTCAATTGGATATCGGAGGATAATGTCAACAGGAGGGATTTGAACCTGACTCAGAAGCTGGTCTCTCTCCCGCTGGACCTTGGACTGCTCCTGCTGATCCACTTCTTTTTAAAATAATTACAAATTCTGTTCAGTGTTTTAAATCGAGGCATTTACTTAGAAATAAGAATCTTTGATTTGAGAAAAAAACTTGAGATTAAATAAAGTTTCAAGATAAAGAAAACTGTTTAATAAATTGCAAGATTGTTTTAAATATGATAGCAATGTCACTGACCAGCATTGTCTCCTCCTGCCCCTTCAGCTGTACTGTCCTGTCCCTCTCCTTCACCCCGCTGTTCAGTCTCCCCTCCCCCAGGGGCTCCATTACTCTGTTGACTGGGCTTGGTTTCCCCTTCTTCCTCCTCATCTGTACATGTAGGATAAAAACAAATATGACATACCAGGCTTTCTTTTCTTCAATAATTCTAATGCTAGACTTGAGATGCTATATTACCTTCCACATTGGATTCCTCCTTTCCGTGGAGGATCTTCTCCAGCTGGTCTACCATCAGAGATTTGTAATTCTCCACGGCCCAGTCTATCAGGTCGTCAATCTCCAGCACCAGGGTCCCGTCCTCAGTAAAGATCTTCCTGGCAGCTGAGGCCAGGCCCAGCTTATGTGTACACTGGTTCAGAATCTTAAAGGTCAGAAAATCAAATTAATCCAGGCAACAACCTAAAGGCACTGAATTAAAAATGTGTCAACCAAAATGGTCACATGCAATTGCTGGCTTTCTGCTAATTTAGGCAATTTCAACTATCTAGAACAATGTAATTTCTGATGTAATGCATTAGATGTAAAAATACATATATATTTCTTATCACAAGAAGAAAATCTAAATTAGACACAAGTATATCTAATATTTCCTACAAGGGATGTTCTTACCCCTTCTATGCTGGATCCACAGATAAGCTCCCCTTGGTGCATGCGTCCCTCTCCATTCTTGTAGGCCAGTATTTTGATGGTTTTGACCGTCTTGGCTGCATTAATTTCCTTAGCGATGGTCTTGACATTGGCTTCCTCTCTCAGTTTTCCGAGGGTATCTTCCCACGTCTCCAAGGTGAGGTCAGCCTCGTGTGTTGACAAGTCAACCTTTCCATTCAAAACTCGGAAACTTCCTATTTGCTGTAGTTTAAGCTTTTTGGCTGTTGAAAGTAAAACTTAACAATTAGATACACACCACAAAATATATTAAAACAGACCTTTTTAATCTTAAAATTAAATATTTCATCTAAACATTTTTTATCTTCTAGAAAAATAATTCTCAAAGGAAACCAATGTGTAGAATCTACATTATTTTGCTGTTTTCTTGCTCAGTGCATGACTATCTTTCTTTGTCAAACAACTGTATGTTTTTAAAAATCAAGAGAATTTTTTCGATATTACCTTCTCCCATTGCACAAGAAAATTCGGTTCTCTCTGGTAATTTCTGCAGCTTGTAACGCCCCCTCATGGCACGGGCACAGGAAGTGCAGACAGTAATATTCTTTACAGACACTCTGTCAGAATTGGAGTGAACAGGAACCTCTGCTAGGTATCCCTTAAAAAATGAGATAAGATCTAACTCATAGAAGCCTCAAGCTCAATGATAATAAACATACTGAAAAATTACCAGAGAAATATATTTATAAAAAGCAGATCCTTACTGGTTGATCAATTTTGCTGTCATGTGATATGGCGTAAGTACAAATGTCAGCATGGTTAGCGGCAGTTATCTCTGCAATTAAAAGAATTATTTTTGATTTTTTTTTAAAATTCAATAATGAAAATGATGAGCAAGGTAGGCAATGTGAAGGTCATTTTTAAGGTCAATATCAAATTATATGTAAGAGAAGCCTATGTTGCACTCTTCAATCGTAACTATTTGACCTTTCTGTGAATAAACAACTCTTATTTCTCTCTGAAAATGACTGAATATTATAATTGTGTATTCTTGACAATAGGGCTTCATGAATGAATAATATTCCCAGTCCATAAACAACTACTGTACCCTTATCATAAGGATTAGTGAAAAAAGCATGTATGTATCCAGTCTCTGCATCATATCTCCATTTCTGATGAGCCTTGCCGTATATATTTAACTTTCTGGCCTGCAAGGTCACAGCACAGCCACTGAAGGTCAAAGGTCGACCTTCTTCATCTTCAGAAAAGGGCTCATTTGCTGGCATGGCAACAGTTAGGACCATTTGAGAGCTGTGCTTGGAGCGTATTTCCCTGTGATAAGATATAGTAATCATTGTGTCTAACATTTTGTGAAGTCTGACATTTAACTCTGTACACAGTATATCTTTCCATACCTAGCACACTATATCACTCGATATGTAAATATAGTATAGAATATCTTATTAGCAGTTGATGTTTTTGAATATCGGCTATTTAAGATCATGTTTCAAAGATTATGATATCATAAATATTCTGAAGATTTATGAGTAATAACATAAAAGAATAATCAAGCTAACCCATTTTCTCTAATGACCCATCTCTGATTTATGTCATCGGGTCTCCGTTTGACCAATAACACTGGGTTCACTCGACCCTCTTGTTCTAATACACCCAACACCAGGGTCCGGTTGGCTGCACAGGCTATATACCCATCCTCATACACAAATCTCTGAAGTGTGTCTCGAGATATTTTAGGGATGGGTTGGGGTCTGAAAAATAATCAATAAATACTTTATAAAGTGATTTTTACATTTAAATATTAACTACAAATAACTACCCATGCAAGAAAACAGAGTAAGAATTAATGTATTCCTAACTTGAATAATTTGGATTATATACTGGAAAATGTCCAGCTTTCACAAAACATAGGTAATCAAAGATTACGAAGCTCACCTCGACGAAGGTTATCTATAAGTAAGGCAAATCTCACATCATATTTTTTCTAGTTAGTGTACATCCCAAGATCAATATCTATACAAGTTTGGTTTAAGAAGGACTTATAATTACTTGGAAATAGACCTGCTCAAAAAACTTTAACCTGGTCACTCATCTGGAAAATCTAGGTCAGATTCAGCATCCGAAGCAAGTGTGTAGTGTTCATCCCTAGATGCATCATCCATGCAAGTTTGGTCCAGGTAGGGCGTATAGTTACTTGGGAATGGACCTGCTCCAAAAACTTTAACCTGGTCACTCATCTGGAAAATCTAGGTCAGATCCAGCATCCGAAGCAAGTGTGGTAGTGTCCATCCCTATATGCATCATCCATGCAAGTTTGGTTCAGGTAGGGCTTATAGTTACTTGGGAAAGGATCTGCTCCAAAAACTTTAACCTGGTCACTCATCTGGAAAATCTAGGTCAGATTCAGCATCCGAAGCAAGTGTGGTAGTGTCCATCCCTAGATGCATCATCCATGCAAGTTTGGTTCAGGTAGGGCGTATAGTTACTTGGGAATGGATCTGCTCCAAAACCTTTAACCTGGTCACTCATCTGGAAAATCTAGGTTAGATTCAGCATCTGAAGCAAGTGTGGTAGTGTCCATCCCTAGATGCATCATCCATGCAAGTTTGGTTCAGGTAGGGCTTATAGTTACTTGGGAATGGACCTGCTCCAAAAACTTTAACCTGGTCACTCATCTGGAAAAATCTAGGTCAGATCCAGCATCCGAAGCAAGTGTGGTAGTGTCCATCCCTATATGCATCATCCATGCAAGTTTGGTTCAGGTAGGGCGTATAGTTACTTGGGAATGGATCTGCTCCAAAAACTTTAACCTGGTCACTCATCTGGAAAATCTAGGTCAGATTCAGCATCCGAAGCAAGTGTGGTAGTGTCCATCCCTAGATGCATCATCCATGCAAGTTTGGTTCAGGTAGGGCGTATAGTTACTTGGGAATGGATCTGCTCCAAAACCTTTAACCTGGTCACTCATCTGGAAAATCTAGGTTAGATTCAGCATCTGAAGCAAGTGTGGTAGTGTCCATCCCTAGATGCATCATCCATGCAAGTTTGGTTCAGGTAGGGCTTATAGTTACTTGGGAATGGACCTGCTCCAAAAACTTTAACCTGGTCACTCATCTGGAAAAATCTAGGTCAGATCCAGCATCCGAAGCAAGTGTGGTAGTGTCCATCCCTATATGCATCATCCATGCAAGTTTGGTTCAGGTAGGGCGTATAGTTACTTGGGAATGGATCTGCTCCAAAAACTTTAACCTGGTCACTCATCTGGAAAATCTAGGTCAGATTCAGCATCCGAAGCAAGTGTGGTAGTGTCCATCCCTAGATGCATCATCCATGCAAATTTGGTTCAGGTAGGGCCTATAGTTACTTGGGAATGGACCTGCTCCAAAAACTTTAACCTGGTCACTCATCTGGAAAATCTAGATTAGATTCAGCATCCGAAGCAAGTGTGGTAGTGTCCATCCCTAGATGCATCATCCATGCAAGTTTGGTCCAGGTAGGGCTTATAGTTACTTCGGAATGGATCTGCTCCAAAAACTTTAACCTGGTCACTCATCTGGAAAATCTAGGTCAGATTCAGCATCCGAAGCAAGTGTGTAGTGTTCATCCCTAGATGCATCATCCATGCAAGTTTGGTTCAGGTAGGGCGTATAGTTACTTGGGAATGGATCTGCTCCAAAACCTTTAACCTGGTCACTCATCTGGAAAATCTAGGTTAGATTCAGCATCTGAAGCAAGTGTGGTAGTGTCCATCCCTAGATGCATCATCCATGCAAGTTTGGTTCAGGTAGGGCTTATAGTTACTTGGGAATGGACCTGCTCCAAAAACTTTAACCTGGTCACTCATCTGGAAAAATCTAGGTCAGATCCAGCATCCGAAGCAAGTGTGGTAGTGTCCATCCCTATATGCATCATCCATGCAAGTTTGGTTCAGGTAGGGCGTATAGTTACTTGGGAATGGATCTGCTCCAAAAACTTTAACCTGGTCACTCATCTGGAAAATCTAGGTCAGATTCAGCATCCGAAGCAAGTGTGGTAGTGTCCATCCCTAGATGCATCATCCATGCAAGTTTGGTTCAGGTAGGGCGTATAGTTACTTGGGAATGGATCTGCTCCAAAACCTTTAACCTGGTCACTCATCTGGAAAATCTAGGTTAGATTCAGCATCTGAAGCAAGTGTGGTAGTGTCCATCCCTAGATGCATCATCCATGCAAGTTTGGTTCAGGTAGGGCTTATAGTTACTTGGGAATGGACCTGCTCCAAAAACTTTAACCTGGTCACTCATCTGGAAAAATCTAGGTCAGATCCAGCATCCGAAGCAAGTGTGGTAGTGTCCATCCCTATATGCATCATCCATGCAAGTTTGGTTCAGGTAGGGCGTATAGTTACTTGGGAATGGATCTGCTCCAAAAACTTTAACCTGGTCACTCATCTGGAAAATCTAGGTCAGATTCAGCATCCGAAGCAAGTGTGGTAGTGTCCATCCCTAGATGCATCATCCATGCAAGTTTGGTTCAGGTAGGGCGTATAGTTACTTGGGAATGGATCTGCTCCAAAACCTTTAACCTGGTCACTCATCTGGAAAATCTAGGTTAGATTCAGCATCTGAAGCAAGTGTGGTAGTGTCCATCCCTAGATGCATCATCCATGCAAGTTTGGTTCAGGTAGGGCTTATAGTTACTTGGGAATGGACCTGCTCCAAAAACTTTAACCTGGTCACTCATCTGGAAAAATCTAGGTCAGATCCAGCATCCGAAGCAAGTGTGGTAGTGTCCATCCCTATATGCATCATCCATGCAAGTTTGGTTCAGGTAGGGCGTATAGTTACTTGGGAATGGATCTGCTCCAAAAACTTTAACCTGGTCACTCATCTGGAAAATCTAGGTCAGATTCAGCATCCGAAGCAAGTGTGGTAGTGTCCATCCCTAGATGCATCATCCATGCAAATTTGGTTCAGGTAGGGCCTATAGTTACTTGGGAATGGACCTGCTCCAAAAACTTTAACCTGGTCACTCATCTGGAAAATCTAGATTAGATTCAGCATCCGAAGCAAGTGTGGTAGTGTCCATCCCTAGATGCATCATCCATGCAAGTTTGGTCCAGGTAGGGCTTATAGTTACTTCGGAATGGATCTGCTCCAAAAACTTTAACCTGGTCACTCATCTGGAAAATCTAGGTCAGATTCAGCATCCGAAGCAAGTGTGTAGTGTTCATCCCTAGATGCATCATCCATGCAAGTTTGGTCCAGGTAGGGCGTATAGTTACTTGGGAATGGACCTGCTCCAAAAACTTTAACCTGGTCACTCATCTGGAAAATCTAGGTCAGATCCAGCATCCGAAGCAAGTGTGGTAGTGTCCATCCCTAGATGCATCATCCATGCAAGTTTGGTTCAGGTAGGGCGTATAGTTACTTGGGAATGGATCTGCTCCAAAAACTTTAACCTGGTCACTCATCTGGAAAATCTAGGTCAGATCCAGCATCCGAAGCAAGTGTGGTAGTGTCCATCCCTAGATGCATCATCCATGCAAGTTTGGTCCAGGTAGGGCTTATAGTTACTTCGGAATGGATCTGCTCCAAAAACTTTAACCTGGTCACTCATCTGGAAAATCTAGGTCAGATTCAGCATCCGAAGCAAGTGTGTAGTGTTCATCCCTAGATGCATCATCCATGCAAGTTTGGTCCAGGTAGGGCGTATAGTTACTTGGGAATGGACCTGCTCCAAAAACTTTAACCTGGTCACTCATCTGGAAAATCTAGGTCAGATCCAGCATCCGAAGCAAGTGTGGTAGTGTCCATCCCTAGATGCATCATCCATGCAAGTTTGGTTCAGGTAGGGCGTATAGTTACTTGGGAATGGATCTGCTCCAAAAACTTTAACCTGGTCACTCATCTGGAAAATCTAGGTCAGATCCAGCATCCGAAGCAAGTGTGGTAGTGTCCATCCCTAGATGCATCATCCATACAAGTTTGGTTCAGGTGGGGCGTATAGTTCCTTGGGAATGGACTTGCTCCAAAAACTTTAACCTGGTCACTCATCTGGAAAATCTAGGTCAGATCCAGCATCCGAAGCAAGTGTGGCAGTGTCCATTCTAGATGCATCATCCATGCAAGTTTGGTCCAGGTAGGGCTTATAGTAACTTGGGAATGGGACTTGCTCCTAAAACTTTAACCGGGACGCCGACGCTAACGCCGACGCCAACGCCGGGGGTATAGCATAAGCTCATCTCGACTTCGTCGAGGTGAGCTAAAAAGTGAAAAACACAAGTTTTCAAAGGTACAGACATAATAACACTGTTGACATGTACACAAACTCATGTTTTTGTTAAAATAACTCAACTCAATAGCTAAACTACACAATCACAAGTTAGAAACTTTATTAAAATCACTTAAAGACATAGGTCTATCTGTGTTAATTCTGGAACAGATCACTGCAAACTATATAAATGTATACTAAGTTAATAATTAATTTTATCATCTATTCATTTACCTTCCTGATCTATCCCTGCAATAAATATGGATTATATAGAAGACAGAGTATGGAGATATGTAAATAGACATGCAGGCTACTCTGGACTCCATCACAGAAAAAAGGGCCCCAGATAAATAAAATGGCAGCCAAGATTATCTTTAACTTACATACAGATGATGCAGGACAAAGAAATCAGATGGATATGTGGACCATGGGTAGTGACTGAAGGAAAAAAATGACCATTGAAGTAAACAGGTGTCTAGGAATGAGACTACCTACTTGTATTTGTCATACATCTCCTTGTCTGTGAATTTATAGGCGTCTGGATCCTCGGATCCCTCATCTTGACTGACATTGATAAGTCTTTCCCATGGCCATTTTAAGTTGTTCAACCTCTGTTCAGATCTTCTGTGGGCAATCTCATGGCAAGTCCTAAACATAGACAATGCACTCAAATTTAAGGAGAATCGATCCTGAGCTTTTGAGCAGATTTTGGTCTGGACCTTTATTTCTAAAATTCTGCATCATTTTTGAGTTCTAACATTAAATCTGGATTCTAAAATGCAAATTAAACTATATCCAATGAAACAAAATGGGATTAAATTCCATTTAAATAGGTTCAAGTCAGGAACTATATTTTGTGGCGGAAGGTTTTTTAGAAGAAAATGATCAATTTTTTTCCTTTTGAAATATATACAGTACTGTATAAGTTTAAATTCCTATTTTTCCATGCTGGTTGCAAACAGAGCTGTTTTTTGCAGTGAAATGTTTATGCTGGTTCTGAAATATCTATCAAATTATTTCTTTTGAATTCTTTCATTATATTGTGACAAATATAGTATATATATTCTGAAAGTCCAGGAAAAAATTGAGCCAGTTTTAACATAAAATTAACACTTTTTTAGTAATATCTAAAAATTTACATCATAGATCCCCACATTCGTTTTTCTTTTCTTAATATATAAGATAACTTTGATCAATCTGCTTAAATTCAGCAAAAGTTTAAGACTTTAAAATAATTTTCTTGCTTGTTAAATTTTTAGTGCCAGAAAAATCACATTTTGTGAGTGCAGAAAGGTCAAATAATTGATTATGCGAAGCAATTTGAAACTTTTTCTTAGTCACAATTTTAATGTGTCTTTTTTTAAATAGACTAATAGTTTATTTTGCCCCATGATTTATTTCGATAAAAACATTGGAGGAAAAACATCGAAGGTGTGATTTTTGATTAAGACACAAATTTCAGTGCAAAAAGGTCATATTAAATGTACTGTAGCGCCAAAAGAAGCATATTGACTCCCATTTTTTGTTTTGATTTTTAATTAAGCTATGTGTGTAGAAACTAAAAATATACTTGACAAAAAAAGTTTAAGACTTTAAATATCAGGATCAAACCTTGTTAAGTATTTTATTTCAGTTATTAATGATAATGACAATTTTACTACAGTTCTGTCAATGTTTTTTTTGTTTATTAGTTCTAAGCTAATAACACAGAAACTTGCATGTTTTCTTCTTCCTCCTCAGCAAACATGGTGGCCCTGGAGTCCTGAAGATTCTGACTGTCCCTCTCTGTGGGTGGGGGACGTCGGGGGAGAGGCTGCTCCTCCTCAAGATTCCACTGACGATTGATAATGATCCGTGTATTGGCCACCAAGTTACCTTCCATCTCCAGTACATACTCTGATAAACCATTAAAACAATTCAGATTTTATTTCATTATAATAAAAAAAACATGATATGTTTATGAAACACTGATGCCCCCGTATGGCAACTTATAGCAAAGGTTAAACTTTCTCAAATGCAAATAAAATATGTTGGTACCCAAAGTAAGGTCTTGTCTCGAGGAATATACCTGTGAAATATGAGAGCCCTAGCAGCAACCATTGAAAAGATATGGAAAAGGTTAAAGTTTTTCAAAAGTAAGTCAAACATCAAGGTCAAGGTCAAATGGTAAAAAATAATGGTGTCTAAGGAAAGGCCTCCTCACAGGAAATATACTGGTGAAATATGAAAGTTGAAGCACTGATCGTTCAAAAGTTATTACCAAGGTTTAAGTTTTTTAAAAGTAGGTCAAACTCCAAGGTCAATGGATTACAATTGTTGATATCCAAATGAAGGTCTTGTCATAAGGATTACATGTGTGAAGTATGAGAGCCCTAGCACCAACGGTTCAAAGGTTATGGCCAAGGTTAAAGTTTTTCAAAAGTAGGTCAAACTGCAAGGTCAAGGTCAAAGGGTCAAAATTGTTGGTATCCAAAGGAAGATCTTGTCACAAGGATTACATATGTGAAGTATGAAAGCCCTAGCATCAACCATTCAAAAGTTATGGCCAAGGTTAAAGTTTTCCAAAAGTAGGTCAAACTCCTAGGTCAAGGTCAAAAGGTCAAAGTGGTTGGTATCCAAAGGAAGGTCTTGTCATAAGGATTACATATGTGAAGTATGAAAGCCCTAGCTCTAACCATTCAAAAGTTATGGCCAAGGTTAAAGTTTTCCAAAAGTAGGTCAAACTCCTAGGTCAAGGTCAAAAGGTCAAAGTGGTTGGTATCCAAAGGAAGGTCTTGTCATAAGGATTACATATGTGAAGTATGAAAGCCCTAGCTCTAACCATTCAAAGGTTATAGCCAAGGTTAAAGTTTTTCAAAAGTAGGTCAAAATCCTAGGTCAAGGTCAAAGGGTCAAAGAGGTTGATATCCAGAGGAAGGTCTTGTCACAAGGAATACACATGTGAAGTTTGAAACGCCAAGTACCAATTGTTCAAAAGTTATGGCCAAGGTTAAAATTTTGCAAAAGTAGGTCAAACTCCAAGGTCAAGGTCAAAAGGTCAAATATGATGGTACCCAAAGAAAGGTCTTGTCACAAGGAATACACATGTGAAATATGAAAGTCATAGCTCCAACCAATCAAAAGTTATGGGCAAGGTTAAAGTTGACAACAGACAGACAGACAAACAGACAGACAAACAGATAAACAGACAAACAGACAGGACAAAAAGAATATACCCCCAGGTTCTTTCGATCCGGGGGCATAATAAAATACACACTGTTCTGCTTGTATAGATATGGAATGCCTTTAGGGATATGTACTCGTAATAAGAGACTCGATTACATGTACTATAAATAAGGCTTGATGCTATACAAGTGATAAAAGACAATAGCTCAGAAGTTTAGATAATTAATGACAGCATAAATTTTTTTTAAAAATAAGAGAGGGTTACAGAGGGTACATGGTTCTCTTAACAATGTACAAAAAAGCTTAATTGACTGACATGTCAGCCGAATAAAAAAAAAAACCAAACATTAAAACTCACTCTCTGGATTGCGGAGTGATATGTACTGTCTGATTTTGGCGATATCTTGAGAGAGTTGTGACAACAGAATACGCCTTTGTTGTTGATCCTTGGACAGCTTGGGGTCCATCCAGCCCTCCCCGCAGGACACATAAACTAAGTCATCCCTCCTCAGGTTGACTAGACTGAAGTGCTCATTTCCTTTACTGTCAAAAAGTCGTCTGGCAGCAAATGGCAAGTTAAGCAGGCTTGTGCAGTTGTCCAAAAACTAAAATCATTTTTTTTTTTTTAAAGAAAAGAACATGGTGTTTTGAGTAAAAATCTGTCACATTTCAATGTAATTTTAGTACATACCATGATAAATTCCAGTTCCCTGACAGTTCTGTCCACACAGTGGAGGTTAATGTCTTCCTCCACATTGTCTGTCTCTGGTACGGGGACATCCTTCTCCACAAGCTTGGAGTGCTGAGGCTTCTTACCAGATTTACCTCCCTTCTCCTTGTTCAAGTCCTTCAACATCTAGTCATCAGAAAAAGCAAAAAAAAAATTTTTTTTAACATTTACAGGAATAAAAGATTTACTGACTTTCTGGTGGACATGAAATGATACTTTTTTTTTATCTTGATAGACATGAAATTATGTATATTTTTCTTTATCAACAGATTTAAATAATTACATTTGTAAGATTTGGGCCAACTACAGGCATAGCTAGCCTGGTGTCTCTCTCTCCATTTTTCATTGTCATGAGCCTTAAAGGAGCCACTGCAAATAAATATATTCAAGCATTACTGTAGAACAAAGCAAAATTGAAAACTTATAAATTATAACCATCACTTGTACACACATTCTTTCTGGACAGTATACTCACTACCAGAAATTCCAAGTTTGGACAGTGGTTTGTGTAGGGGAGGGGCATTTGGTAGAAGATATCCCTCCATAGGCCAGTCATAGTCCTGAAATGTCAAAAACAGGACAATAAGCAACCAAAATATTTAATTTCTATATCTCTGAAAAAATCAGAAAGTTTGAAGATTCTATGGGAATGCATGCATGTCAGCAAAAATATTTCAATCCCAGCAGATTCAGTCATATAAGTGGTGTTATAGCAGACCTCAGCTGTAAACTTGATCAGTAGCAGGAAGGACTTTATTTGTGATAGTACCTACCATAACAAGGTCTCATCAAAGAGACCTTACACTGAACATACTGAGATTTGAACTCCAACACATAATGAAGCCCCGTCAACTGAGCTACTTCTATGCTAGAGTATAGAGAGAAGAATACACATTATAAGTCTACCTCATTTAGATTGCCGTCCTCCTTTACAGGCCAGGACAGTGCTCTCTTGCTCCACTCCATGTTTGTGGCATCATTGTACTTCCACTGGCCCAGGTTATCAAATCTCTCCTGTTTCAGGGCAAATCTGATTGAACAAAAAATACCAGTATGAGAAAAACAGCTGATAGGGGTTAACTTCAGAAAAATTTTCAACAGTTCCACAGTAAGAATAAAAACAATGTTTTTGAAAAACTGAATATATATCGGATTATGAAGTTCTTTTATAGTTAACAATTTATAGCACCAAACTAAACCAACCTCTGATTAGATGCCTCCTTCTTTTGTCGTCTCTCAGTGACGACCAGATACACGGACTGTCCTGGTAAGATCCCCTCTGGCTGCTGGTTTTCCTCATCCCCCAGGTGATTCCCATTGTAGGTCAAAACAAGGTTAGGATGAGCCTAGAACAGCAGAGGAAAAGGTCAGAAGTGAAAGAAATCCAATGATTTTAAAACTGAGGGCTTTTAAATGGACACAAGATTTCAGTAAAAGATACATGAACTTGTAAATTTTGAAAGAAGAACATTTAGCATGTTAAAGATAGCTTCTTACTAGGCATGTGATGGTGGCATCTGGATTAAACTGCCACTGTTGGTAGGTGTTGCCTGTAGCTTTCTTCTGAATGTTGACAACAAACCCAGACACTGTGTCCTTACCCAAGGTCAAATCTACCCTAGTGTCTGATACTCCGAGGCAAAGCTGTGGTATGGACTTACACCTTATGTAGCCATTCTGGAAAACAGAAAAAAAGAAGGATTTCAGCAAGTGAGAACCAAACCTGAACTGAAGAGTAACCTGCTTGTCACATTATAACAGCTTCATACATGTATATAGTAATCATTTTAATACACTGTACCAAGCATTTTCATTTATCATATGTGTGGTTATTTCACATATTTTTAACAAAGAAGGCAATGAGAACCAAAATTACCTTCTGAATGGTCCAGACTTGAGCCTCAGGAGGCCAAAGTTTTGTGGAACCTCCTTTCTTAACTTTTTTGAAGCAATTCACTTCTGGGTACAACACAATTTTTTCATTGTTCTGAAAAACAAGAATAATAATACAATACTCTGAAACTCAGTCATGTGTGTCAAAGTCAACATTCTTCTCCAGGTCTTGGTTAAGGTGCGCGATACAGAAGACAGGTCATAATTTCATTTGAACATAAAAATGTACTTTTGAGATGTTCTAAGATACAGGATTAGTGGAAATCAGCTGTGACTAATATACATGTGTATCATCAGTCAACTGTGATCTGTAAAGTTGTGACACTTCATGTTGTGTTTTAGAGTTACTAATTACATACCTTAGCTTGTAGGAAGGTACTTCTGGCATCAATACGAGCCATACGTGCTAAGTCCTGAACATGTGACTGGGATTCTGGGGAGTTGGCCTGCTCGTAATCGTAGGCTGGGTACCCCACTGTGGCCTCCCAAGCAGCATACCTGTAAATAAACCCTCAGCATATAGACCAAACAATACATAATCCATATTCTGATGAAAATGTCAAATATCACATGGACTGTTCTCTCTGTTGTTTTAAAGAAAAGAATTGAGATAAAAATACACTTACGTTTCTCTGTTTTTGGTAAGATCCATGTTCAATGGTTCTCTTATGATGAATGTCTCCCCTTCCATAAGGTATGCTGTAGCCTTCTCAAACATGGCCTGGATGCAGTATGCTAAAAGCAATTGATGTTTTGCTAAGCAATTTTTTAAACTTCTTAAATTTCCATGCATTTAACTACATGTACCAGTCTTTTGCTGCTAGTTTACAAACATCAATTATCTTTAAACTCAGACTTTCTCTTTTTTAAGGTACAAAATATTTGCCTGGTAATCTATTTAAATCTACAGAAATACTGATAAATGCCAATAATACACAACTCTATTTTGACACTTACTGAACGGGTTAATAAATGGTTCTCCAAAAGACACCCAGATCTCCTGATCATACTCAAGGTCATAGACATTGGTGATCTCTTTTCCATACTGGTCAAAAATTTTCTTGACCACAGGAGCAATTTTTGGATTGTGTGGATTTGCAGTCACATGGTTTGTCGACAGATCATCAAACAGCTGCAAGAAAAATCAATGAGTAAATGATCATCTCTTCAGCAGTAAAACACTTCACTTTACAACTCAAGTTTAACTTCACATTTACTTAATATAACATCTCTGCTGAAGCACTGCCTGTAGCTGTCCTTACCCTTGTTAAGACTTTTCCTTTGTCGTTTGTGCCTCGTAATGCACCAGCAAGATTAAAGTAAAACACTTGATCATTCTCGTAACTCCCATTCTCATACACCTGTAATGATACAATATGATTTATCTGATGTTTGATAATGATTTACAATAAATTAAACCAGCATGACATCTACAGCTTTATGTCCTCTGGGTACCTTGAGTCTAAGGCCTTTTCTTCCCACCAATCTGTGCTCAAACTCCCATTCCTTGATATGCTTCATTCTGTAGTTGGATCCTTCACTCTACAGAATAATACAAATGAATAAGACAATAAACGGGACATTACTAATGTATTATTATTATTAAGGGGGGGGGGGGGGGGATTCTCTGCCCATTTTATTTTTGCCTCTTTCATTTCACCTTGTATCAAGTGGGTAAATTCTAACTCTCTTATCCGAAGGTTACCCTAACTTACCTCCTCTACTTGCTGAAGCTCCACAATTTTCTGGAGTTTGTCCTCAATGTCCCTCAAACTCTCTGTCAGATTCTCCACTTCCTGCTCGGCCTTAAAAAAAAAATTACAGACTAGATGTTTTATTCCCTGTAAGAATCAAGACCTTTTAACATTGATATCTTTTCAATCAATGTTAAAGAGCAACAAAAGGCAAAAACTTGTTTTTTCAGGCCCTTTCAACATTCATATTACTTACAATCATTTAAATCATCGTATACTAATTCAGTCATTTTGGGAATAATAGATTTTAAAAATTATTCCAGAATCTTCATAGAGGTCTAAACTATTCATTTAACCAGTAATTCCTTGAATTTGACAAATCCATGTAACATACCAGCTCTAGCGTGGTGTAAAGCTCATCCTCAGGCATGCTCAGAATGTCAGTAATGGTGACCTTGTCTTTCTCATCCCCTAATGCATAATTCACCTGAAAAGATTCAAATAAATCTGCTGTAGATAACTTTCTTTTTATCAAGTTTAACACAAGAAATTAAATATTTTGATATCAGTTATTTACAAAATGCATGCCATTGTAATATGAAGAGAGAGAGAGAGAGAGAGAGAGAGAGAGAGAGAATGGAAAGACAGCTTTTGCAGTTTGACTATTTAATCTTACCTCTTTTTTGTACTTTACTGCTTCTTTCAGCTGTCCTTTGATGGTACGTTTCAGGTACTTGATAAAGTGAACAGTACCTGTGGGGCTAAAGGCCTCGCCAATGGACACCCACAGGGGACCATAAATGGGGGAATTACCTTCCTGTACTGCCTCATGTAACAAGGGGGCTAAAAACAGGGAATTTGTAAAAAGTTAATATCTTTTTAGAAAAAAAAAAACCCATCAGCATGATTACATTATCCAATGCTTATTCATAAACAGCTTCTTTCTTTCTTTTTTTTTTTTTTAAAGAGATATATGCTTGTAATGATCTATTTCATTTAAATAAATAATTTAACTCCAATTCTACAAAATATCCTTAAGAGATTATAAATTCTTTGAAAAGATGCTACACTGATGATAATAAGAGATGTCAGTGTAATGCACTGTGCATGAAAGCAGTCTGCGACCTTACCGTCCCTCAGATCTTTGATTTCATTTCCTTCCCAGTCATACAGTACTTTGGCATGAGTTGTTAGTCCTAGCTTAGCAGTACAAGCTATCAGGAACTGTCAGCAGAAAAAAAGAATTTCAAAATTTAATGTTTAAACAGGTGAAAACATTGAAAATTTTTATGAAATTATGAAAATGGAGAATTGACCAAACAATGGACGTTTGTGTTTACCTCCTCCTTATTACTCATATCCGCCACTATCTCCATCGGTTCTGTGGCGTAGCCATTCCTGTACACAACAATCCGGTGTCTGTTGCTCTCTAGAAGGCCCCTGGTTAGAAACAATAGACAAATCATCAAACACTACATAATTAGATAGTCAGAGTTGCTTCCCTTTAATCCTTTAATTGGTGAGAGTTGCTACCCTTGAATCCTTTCATTGGGATTTCTTGAATCCTTTCATTGAATGGGACCATTAGATATCATTAGATTGGTAACGTACCTCATTCTTTTTGACACTCTACATTTTGTCTTTTTCTTTCTTCCCTCCTCTGGCAGTAACACTCCAGACAGTGTCCACTTGGCTCCATTAGTTATTGCTATGTTTTCTTCAAAAGAATAAGATACACCGTATAAGCAGAATTTTTAGTGAGGGTGTTCAGATTGCTAAAATTGCATATTGCTAACAATTCATTCAGCACTAAGGAGGTAAGGTTATCTTGCAAAATATTTTCAAATTGCTAAAATTACTTCTCGCAAAAATTATATAGCAATTTTTACAGCTAAATCGCTAAATTTTGGGTCCCGCTAAAAATTCCACTTATACGGTATTGTGTCATTGAATTACTACACATGTGTTTACATAAAAATGCACTTAAAAATTAAGACTTATTTGAATCTAATTTCTAATTTTTGTTGGTTATGATTCACATTCAAGATCTTGAATTCTTTTATTCTTATTAAAAGAAATGAAGAGTGCCAATTTTGCAAGTATGTAATTGAGTGTGAATTTCTCCTGACTGTGGTTGATGTTTACTGTATGTGATTAAAGAGATGCCATCCAGTACATCTTTGTCATTACAAAATCATGTACAATAAATTCTGTTACATGAGCTACACTTACGCTTCACACTTTTGTATGGGTCCTTAAAATTATCTCCAGTTGAAATATACACTTCAGAATCTGGAGGAATTTCATATGCATCAAAAACTTCCTTTCCATTGTCCAAAAACACTCGTCTGGCTGCAAATCCCAGGCCTAATCTCTCAGTGCACATCTCCAGAAACTTAAACATAAAATTATAAATAGAGCAGACAGTTAAATATAAATAAGTCAATATAATTTATTTTGGTTGTAAGGCGTCATTTGACTGGATAAAAAAAATTAAGACTATATCGTATAACCTGGGTTGCCTACATCACAATTACTTACGTCAAAAACATATCAATCCGCTTGACGTTACATTTAAAATACGTACAATTTGAAGACATTTTTGAAGGAGAAATTGTCTTATTTTCTACACTTAATGATGAAAATTTAAATTATAAGGAATGAATTTAACAGCTACCCAAGTTATACTGGTATAACCTGGGTTGGAACACTTTACACTTTTTTATAAACCGTGGTTTATAAAGCGTAAACTGCCCCAACCCAGGTTATACCAGTATAATTTGGACAGCTATTACATTCATTCCTTAAATATTCAAGTACATGTATATTCTTTGATAAACAATTATAATGTTTCCTACCACTTTCATTGATGGGGCTGCTACTCGACACATGTTTTCCCGGCTGCCATTCTTGAAGGCCAGACATCTGATTGTGTAGGGTTTGTTCAAATACTGGGACTTAATTCTTCTTCCAGTAAAAGCTGTTCAAATTTAAGTGAAAGTTTAAAGTGTTAAATTTGGGGAAAAATAGCAAAAAGTGCTTCATAAAAGAGACTGAAAATATAAAATGATTAATACATGTATATTCCATGATAATTGCTCAATGAAAAAGTAGTGGAAGAATTTAATTGTCTAAAGACCCATTGGACTTTATCAATTTCAATACTTCAGTTTCCTCAATTTTCGTTGCTAGCAAATTTGTAATAATATAAAAGCAGCTTTCTTGATTGGTCAAGCAAAATGAACTGAGTTAACCAACACCTTTAAAATTTTGAACAATTGAGAATCTGTATACATCAATTTTATGTTAGATATTCAAACTCAACACACATGAAAGTTAACTTGATGCAGGAAAGCCAACCTATGATATGTGCTGACTTGTTAGGGAGGAAAGGGGGAGTTTCAAATCATGATAGGATTAGATACAAACTTTCAATGATTGGAAAACCAGATAAATTGACATTTTTCTTAAAATTGATTTTTTTTTTTTTTTTTTGGCACTATAAAAAAAATTCTAAATTCATTAGAATGTATGTACAAGAAATAGCTATAAGAAATAGTAAAATGCTAATTTTCCTTGTGAATTTTGTTTTTGCAACAATATCTAAAAATTAGTTCTGTGGGAAAAGAATCTGCTTGTGCAAGTAAAAATTAGGGTATATGATGATGATAAAAGTGATAGCAACAAAATCAAGTGATGTCACTCAAATCAGGTCTGTGGGTAGAAATCAAGTCAATAAAAGCATAAATATAATACCACTTCTTGTCATGTCAACATATCCAACACAATCAGAGCATGCTGTAAAATAAATACTTAACATGCTGTAAATCTGCATAGAATTAGTAATTCTATCATCTAAACTTAATGCTAAACCTAGATAATAAATTCTACAAATGGAATTAATAATAATAAAACAAAACAAAGCATGCATCAAATATCAAAACAAACTAAAACTAACATAATACTAAAATATCAAAATACATACGTTAAACCAACTTTTATCTTGATAATTCATATATTGTTAATTGATAAATATTCAGAAGATTCACTAGCAACTCAAGCTTACAGATATTTATGGTCACAAAAAAGTTTAAGACTTTAAAAGGTTTACGAAACACTTAATTTTAGACAAGTTTTTCAAAATTAATTAGGCAATCAACGAATAAAATGTCATGTATAACAGTTGGTTACAGTATGTATCAAAAACATACAAGACAACAAAACACCATAGATTTTTATCAAATAATGTAGCCCAAATAAAAAAATTGAACTAAATAAGAAAAAAAAAAGCTTTATAGTTTATATTTTGATTTTGCTTACCTGAGTAAGGGGTAGATCTTGCTGACCAGCCTCTTGCATTATTTCTGTAGAACCAGGACAGATTAGATGTAGCAGAAAATGGACGGTTTCTGAAGAAAAGGAAACACAGGTCTAGATAATTTGTTATTTGCTTACATGTACATCTTCTCAATCATAGTTTCATTCATTTTTACAATGTGCAATACTGCAGTATACTGCAGAGAAGATACTTTTAATTACACACAAACTGAGTTTGCAATAAAAATTGGCCTACGTTTTTCTCCTAACAGGAGCTGATGCTGGTCTCCCTTTCCTCAGCTGTGATGTAGAAGTTGTGCTCTCAGACCTGGGAGTTGCAGGGTCCCATAGGTTTGGGTCAGCAATAAATTTGGAATCAATCTTTGGTTTCCTGGCACCAGAACTCGGTCTCCCTGAACCGGGTCGTCCTGGGACAGTGGCAGATATTGGTCTCCTGTTTGACATGCCAAAATCCGAATGAGGAAGTTTCTGGGAGTATGGTGATGCAGGTACTCTATAACAAAGCATATGATCATACAATTCATGTTAACACAATTATTATGAATAATAAAAACATTACCGCGAGAATACTGTAGATCACTAAATTTTCACGACACCTTACTTTGGCGAGATAGTCATTTACCCTTAATTAGCAAGACAAAATTTTCATGAATTATGGTTACTACTCTACATAATCTTAAGGAATACAAATATTAATACGTGAGAATAAAATTTTTGCAAGCACACTGTCTTGTGTAATTACACGAAAATAAAGTTCTCATGAATAAATTGATTAACAGTAGCTAGTTCAGGGTATAAATTATAATTAGACAGCCTATATCCTTTCAGGCAGTATTTTTAAGAGCTATCAGAAATTCATGGCCTTGTACTGTATCAAGAAAATCATGCAGTTTCTTGTTGTGTTTGTACCTAACAGAAATACATTGTGCATTTTTCATTTAGAAAATTAACACTTACTCTCTCTTTTTCTTCATACTGTTCTTGGTTTTTCTGAGTTCATCCAGGTACTGTGCAATCAACAGATCTTCGTAACTCACCATATCAGTATTCTGTTTACTGAAAGCTAGACTTCCCTCCCTTGAATTAGGAGAACCTTTCGATTCTCGTCTTCCTGGCATCTTGCCTGTATTGTCAATACAGCACATATAATACAATACAGCACATACAATACAATACAGCACATATAATACAGACATTGTTATCATACACGATCAGATGCATGAATTCAGTTTTTATATGAAATAAATTGAGTGATATATTCTTTTTTACAGTAAATGCATGTCTTATATTGCACATGTTGCTCAGTTTCTATCCTGATTTACTGTATGTAATGACCTTTAATTTCACTAAAGACATTTTCTTTTTATTTTCAAAACAAAAACTTTTTCATCCATTTTGACAAAATGTAATCGTTCGTTCATGCCCATGTTGATTTCTTTTTCATCCGCAAAACTACAATTTAACTTACAATTTGTCAATATAAATGAATTATAAAGCTCTTCGGTTTGTATCAAAATTGAGAGTATCTCATTTGAATTAATCAAAAGTAAAACTCAGGTATGTGATATGTCTTATCAACAAATCAAAATTATTATTTATGTAATTTCTTTGCCACTAAATTCTGTCCTTTTTAAATAATTTAGAAAATTTGCTTCTATATCAATGAACATGCTGAATAGCCACTATCATACATTGCTTTGTAAAAAAGAAATTGGGGACCATGCACATATATACTCCTAAAAATATTAAAATTATGCAATTTATTAATTGATTAAAGTAGATTAAAAATGAATTATCAAAGTATTTTCTAAATTTTATTTTAAATTGAAAGCCATGTTCATTTCAGCAGTGTTTATTCGTTTAATGGGACGAGCACTTGCATGCATTTTTGCTCCACTATTCCTAGTATAATATATTGGCTTATACATTAAAATAATGGTGAAATTGTCTTGTTTAGAAAAATATGACGTCTTAAATTTAATTAGTATCTTGGTACCTTACCGTATTTTAATGACAATGGGACAACCAAGTATTATTCACAACATGCAATGATCAATGCATTTTTTCAATGTACTTTCTCCAGAGAGGGAATCCATATTGAAATATTTGCCTATCTCCTTGGTGATTACGTCACGATAACAGGACCGCACAAAAGGTAGGCCGAGCACTTGTTACGGTGGAGTGCGGGACGGTTCGCCCCAAAAGACCATTCGCGCTGAGACGTTTCGCCCCAAGACGGTTTGCGCCGAAGATCAATCAATTAATTATGTGGCAATTATCACTTGTTAACAGCAATTATCAACTTCTTAACTTTTATACTGTGTTATATTAATCCAATCCATTGGTTCAATCATAGGCACTCCCCAGCTTAATTGTTAAAAAATATATATCTACTATACTATAAACATAACTTTTATAGTATAGTAGATATATATTTTTTAACAATTAAGCTGGGGAGTGCCTATGGGTTCAAACAATAATACCAATTTATATGGGTTATACTTAACACCTGACACTGCAGGGACCTATAAGTCCCTGCGGACACTGAAAACCAAATTATAATTATAACACCTTAATTACAAAACTGAATCAGACAATTATGATTGCTGAATAAACATAATTATATTTGCACATTGAAAATTATACCTTTAATTATGGTATAAGCCTATTTTCAACAATTTAAACAGGCATGAAAGTTTTTTTTATTAACTTTAGAACTTTTTTTAATAAAGTCAATATTAACCTTATATGTAAATATTTATCTTAAAACATATCGTATTTATATCGTTATAGACAATGAAGATTAAATCGGGCGCGAAACGTCTTGGCGCGAAAGGTCTTTGGGGCGGGAAAATCAAAAAGTGTACTCCCATACAGTGTACGCCTTTCTTCTGAAAGAACACCAAATACCTGTAACTTCAACGACCTTTTTTTATTTGACTATAAGGATGTACTCTGCTGATTATCTTGAGGTGTCAGCCAGAACTTCTCTGGTTTTATCCATCAAAATAAGCATAATATTTTTTGACCACTAATTCCACTATCATCTATAAAAAAAAAATCACATATCAATATTCTTTGTAGCTTTAAAAGTCTTCTTAAAAACTATGAAGAAAAGCTTGATTCCAGATTAAGATTTTTTTCAGGGTAATTGTTCACTCATTGTAGACTTATCGGAAAAATCCAAGACGCCTTATATCTTATCTACTTTTCTCTTCAAATAATGATTACATCGATTCGAATATAAGTACCAAAATTGGAAAGTTTAATTCTACTTATCTAACTAGTATGATGGCATCACTAGCTTCTGTCCCCTCTATGCAAGTTATTTTTCTACAGATTCTGTCAACATGCAAAGTTTGACTTGCAACATAACTAAGTTGACATAGATCGATGTACAAAAAATGTAATCAATTAAGAATTTGCAAAATGTTACAAAATTATCAAATATCGTTCACATGTGACTAGATGCGACTCATTTATGTTGACATGCAAGATAACATTGCACACATGTAACACAAACTCTAATACATTACATACCATTAATAAAATGTACTACATGTATAGGTCTGCATGAAAGTTACTATACAGCCGCCTTCGTATATAAATTTTGTGCCAGAACATATTACTTGTTCTGGCACCAAATTTGTACCCGACAGTCCTTAAAAATTCAATCCTAGAAACCTCTTTCTTTTATGTTTCGCGACGGGTAAATTAAGAGCGTAGTGCTTATATAGGGACATTTAGGCAAATAGAAAATACGCCACCAGGCGCGGATCCAGGATTTGAAGTTAGAGGGGGCGCCAAAAGTAGGCAGGGGGTCTGGGATTCTAGAGATTTTGTAGGGTAAAAATGAGGTCTACCAAATAGAAATTTTTACATTTTCTCGACGAAACTATGATTTACGTTAACTTTGACAATTTTAGGGGGGCGCGCGCCGGGTGCGCCCCCCCCCCCCCCTTAAATCCGCCACTGGCCACCATAAAGTAGAAATAATTAAAAACATAAAAACCATAGGTGGTCCCCATCTAATTTCGTAAATGACCAATTGATAAATATATAAAGAGATATAGATCTACCCCTATAGTATAGAGGATATTTATCATTTCGTCATTAAGTTAGGAGAACAATTTGAGATGCATGAAGTATTATATATTCTATATATACTATTAGTTTCATACACATGTCGAACGACTCGGAATTTTTTTCACACACAAACCGTAAACAACTTGTCCCAACCTGGACAACCAATTTCGGGGGTGGGATGGGGCAGGGTTGGGTGGTTAATGGTGGTGGTGGAGGGGGGGGGGGGAGGACGAGTAACTTTTTTTCATTACTCTGTTTATCATTTCACTCACACTCCACCCCACCCACCCCCCTTCTAGATCGTGCATAATACAGGACAACATATCTCAAAAATATATAGGCCATCATAGTTCTCTGATTAATTCTAACTCTAAAATGAAAAGGGAAAGGTTAGCCAAATATAGATCGTATTCAAGAAAGATAGGATATTTATAATTTTATGCTTTGCTTTACTTATATGGAGGCCAGAATATTTAAGGCAGTGGAAACTGGGAAGAACTCGATTTATTCACTGAATGCAATATGTGAACAAATGATTTAAAAAAAAAAACCACCATGCAGAATCCAAGAAAATAGTGTAAATGTATCCATTTTTATATTTAAAAAATTCTGACTCATAAAAGGGGCGTCCCTCCTAGACCCTCCCTCACACCGTCCTTTCCAGAAACCTGGCGAGGAAACTGATATTCAATAATGATTTTAAAATTACAATATGTACTTATTAAGTTAAATTTACTTTAATGTGACATGTTGAGTTATTTCTTCGACAATGTGATCGAAGTTAAAAATATGCTTGAATATGTTTGCATGATGAATTAAAAAACTGTTATCATTAAAATTCTTTATAAAATTCGACGCTAACACTTTTATATTCATGCTCACGCATTGTTTTAATCCTAGTACTAAAGAAGTTGTCGATATTAAAATACATTAACATATATTATACATACACATATTAATATTTGCCTAAATGTCCCTGAGCACTACGTTCTGTAATTTACAATATTATTTAGTAATAATTATTCCGACATACTTCATTTAAAGGAATAAAAGAACTTACTGAGTTCTTGTCTAAAAAAAATGGGAAAAAATCGTGTTGAATTCATTTTAGTCGGGCTCGATCAACAGAAAATATCGATAGCAACTGGAAGTGGGTGTCGTGACCTCATTCACGAATTTGCAAATGGCGACTATTTTCTCGCCGATGACCCACCTCCCGAAATAACATATTCGTATTTTTATGTGATTTGTGATTATAGCATCGATACATTATCAGGATAAGGTAATACGAAAATACACAATAATGAGTCTGTTTGGTTTTATAATATTGCATTCGATCAAAAGCGATAGTAATTTACATTACAACATTTAAAATAAATTGTTGATAAGTTCATTTCCATTCATTGCATCCACTTTAGTGAGCGTTTTTGAAGTAAAGTTGTGTTGAAGATTGAAGGAAAAGATAGTTTCATTCAACTTCCCTCCGCAGTTTTGTGCTTAACGAGAAGCTCTTTGGCAGACAGAAGTAAAAGTCTGTTTACAGACAGGAAGTGACACCCCCGGCGTGGATCAGAAATGCTATGTTTCGCACCTTATACCAAAATCATACATTTGATTTTGATTATCATAGATAAGGTGTCATAGAAAATGATGTCTTTTACTTGGAGAAATTTTTAAAAATGAAATGAATTTTGGTAATTGAGCATGTTGAGGTGTGGGAGTATGCTGCATTGCAGATTTTGTTGTTATTTCTACAGTCTCCCTGATTTATGCAAAAAAATATATCCCTATACAATCAATTATATAAAGATGTAATACAGGTGTCTACAAAAAAATTAGTAATGTGTTGTGTTTGCTAGTATCCAGAGTTTATTTTGTCTATTGTATGTGCCATATATCATGTATATCATGATATATAAACATGTAACAATCCATTAACTTCCCAAGAACTGGGAATAGGGCAAGACGGCCCTGTTAGGACTCTCAGTCCTGAATTTAGGATAGCAGGAGCTAAAGGACATTCTGATTCAGAAACAATTAACCCAAAGTAACATGTTCTAATGATCAATATTTGACTTAAAAATAGTATTATAAGTGCAGGTTTCATTTGGTAACTTATTGTCAGAATGTCATTGTTGGTTTCACTAAACATGCTAAATGAAAGAAAAAATGCCATTGTGAAAATAGAGCCGAGCTTCAACTCTAATCATCCAGAATCTAAAGCTTTGTGTAAGCAACAATCCCTGACAATTTCTACCTGATCAATGACCAGGATATTGAGTAAATTTGAATATTTGCATGATATTGTCTTTTTATTCACTCTGTACAAAAATTATTATTTTTCATCTTGCTGTTTTGGAGGAAATTTTTTGTGTCTATACATTATTCATTAATGGATCTTTGAAGGCCATGATACATTCTATACTGTATTCTTTTCATTATATTCAATTGAATACAGGGAAAATTTTTCCTCATTTTCATGAAAATAGCAGATGACAGTTTCACTGGCACTCAACAGTCAGTGTGACTCTGACCAAACACCATGTTGCCATAAGGAAAATCTGAGTGCATACTAGTTATATGAAACTTAACCTAGGAAACATAGACGTACTTGTTGAAAGGTTTAGAGTCTATAAAGTCTGAGATTTTAAACAAATCCCAAATTGGAATTCCAATTAAATTAAGACTGTATCTTTCATATTTAGAGCAATTTATTTATTCCATACAAGCTAACGCAAATTTTTGTAAGGTAAAGATTTGTGTATTAAACATAAGATGAATAAATTATGCATTTTACATTATTTTTTCCAGGTCCATATAACAAGGCATCATGCCTGCTGTGAAGGGGGATAACATGCGGGGACTGTTGGTCTTCATCTCCGATATCCGTAATTGTAAGTAATGAGTCTCCATACCAATAGGGAAGATAATGTGGGGAATGTTGGTCTTCATATCCGACATCCGTAATTGTAAGTTATAACTCTCCATACCAATAGGGGAGATAACATATGGGGTCTTCATCTTCGACATCCGTAATTGTAAGTAATGACTCTCCATACCAATAGGGGAGATAATGTGGGGAATGTTGGTCTTCATCTCGGACATAAGGCTTCAAGACCATAAACTGAGAATAGACTTAAGTCAGAATTTTGATTTTTAGTACCTTGATATTTATTTCAGATATGTATTTAAAAATTTGCAGGTTTGAGCATTATTTAAACTTGAACAAACCATGAAAATTTTGTTTGATTTTCAAAAATTATTTAAAAAGTTATAGTGATTTGAAATTCTGTCTTAAGTCTATTATCTTAAAACCAGAGCAGTTACTGTGACTCACTAATGACTCTCAGTACCAATAAGGAAGAGATAAAGATATGCGGACTGTTGACCACTCTAATTAAAAGTAGATGTTCCGAATCCGCTACATCTAATTTTAATTAGATTGCATCTCTGACATCCGTAACTTTAAGTAACATATTTCCAACATCCAGAACTGTAACTAAAGTAAGGGAGATAATTTAGACTTGTCTTTAGAACCAAGGGAGTGAGAGTCATCTTGGCAACAAATTGTATAGATTATCTTCCAGTCAGGGAGGAAAGACTCTTTTACAAATGCACTTAACTTTGCAGTATAATAAACACAAAAATGACAGTGACTTTATAAATACAATATAATGCTTAATTAAGAATAGCAAAGAAGAGATTCAAATATGAAATGTTGAAAATCAATCCATTTATTTCTACACAGAATAATTACACCCTTGGAATGCTTAGTAAATCATGTTTTGAAAAAGGACCATAAGTCTTAGTTGATATGTTAAATATAAAATTGGTAACAGATTTGTAAATAATTCAGGTATAACAATTACTATGAAACATGAGAGAGGTGTGACTATAGTATATAGCGTGATAGTTTCTAACACAGTTTAAAAATTGTCATGTAGAAGGGTGTAGCATCATTTGAGCAAAGTGTCAACAGTTAATAAGGATCAATATGATAAACAGATCATTGAATAATCTGTATGTGGTATTGGTAAACTTTTTGATATTTTCCATTTCATGCATGTATTATGTGGAATATTCTCAAATATCACTGGTTCAGCTTGAGTTGTAATATATGACTCTTAAAATAATAGAATGAAGTTTTTATTTTTAAATTTACTAAATTAAAAATTATTAAGTGATAGATAAATCTTTTGCAGTGCTTTTTCTGTTTTGATTTTCAACTAAATAATGGAGTATTGAAATGTATGTGAACCATTTTTTTCAGTCTTTAAAAGTAAAATATAATACTGCTGAGACCAAATTAATTAAACTATAATACATGTACTGCTAAATAATCAAGTCTTGAAAGTAAGGAGAAGTAATGATTACAACATTTGAATCTCCTTCACATGTAAAGGACATTGTCTGCATTTACCTGTCTATGAGTGCCAGGTAAATAATTAATCAGATGATGATAGCTTTCTATTCTGTATACAGCATCAGATATTGATCAGGTGATGTAACAGGTGCTCATCCTCACACAATGATTATTAAGACATCAAGAAAAGTAATTATGATTAATATGCATATCATGTCCTGTGTCATGTGTATAAAAAAAGAAGTTGGATAAATTTCAATATGTTTTCAGTTAAGAAAGCAAACTGTGTAATAATTTTCTTGGTGACCCTAATACAGTTGTAGATAAGATAAAAATGTAAATGTTATGCACATATGATAGGTTAACAAACAAGGAACATTAGCATATTGTGATATATGTTACAATTTGATGTCTCCCACTCATAAAGTAATAAAATTTAATAAAATCAAAGTGGTTACAAAAAGTGGTTGTTCAGCAAGTTTAATGACATTATGGAAACATTTTCTCTTTATAAATGCTTGATATGGAACACAATACATAAAAGTACTTTAGGCAGTTAATTGATTTCTATTTTGAAATGAACGATTAAGAATGATTCATAATGAAGGTTAAAAATCATTATTAGTGAAATCTTGAGCTATTGAACTCATACACATCTGTATTATAGAAAAGTTAAATAGATTCTTCCTGAAAATAAATATCTTAAGTCTTCAGATTAGTAGCAATCCCATGGAGTGTTTTAAGTGATGAAAACAAATTAAGTTAAGTCTTATCATGCTTATATTGTGTTTAGTTTGATTGCTGGATGTAAGGTAAGCTGGTCCTCTACATTGATTGTACTGAGGCAGTCCTATTGATCTCGCCGTAGGGACAGAGTCGAGATCCTGTGCTATAACTGTGTATTGATTCTTGGGATTGTAGTGCTCAGATTTATGTTAGATATTTAGGATCTAATTGATCATGAGAAACCATTACTGCATGACAGAGTTTTCTCATTTCAAATGAATGCCTTTTTGTGCAGAAATCAAATAGAGTTATTTGTGTTGTATCTCTTGTAATGGGTTCATGATTGTTTAACTTTGTTGATTTTCATTACAATTAATTTGTATGATAGGAGTATTAATGTTCTACAGGAAAGGAAAAAAAATGTATGCTAGAATTAGAGAGGTTTTTCTAAAGTCATTGATTAACATCATTAATACACTGGAAGGGAAGATCATATACACATGTACTCTACTGCCCAGAAATGTTAATTTTCGTTAACCATTGAATGTTAACCCTGCTAATGAAGTTTCATATATTGTCTGTAACCTCTTACCTATGCATAAGGGATAATATTAAAGTTTCTAAAAGAGGTCCATTTCTAAGTGATCATAAGGCCAAAAATGACCAATCTTGACAAATTTGCTGAAGAAGACAAATTTGGGTGCTGAATGCAACTTACGTGTCCATTGTACAGATGAAGAATCAGCATAGTTTTAAAGCTTTTTGAGAAGCTTTGTTCTTTATGTTCTTCAATACTTATTGTTCAAATAATTTCAGGTGTTACATTGAGTCCAGACTCTGAATTAAAATCTAACAAAGCTGAGTGCTGGCATCAAAGTTGTCTTTTTTTGGGTAAAATTATAGGAGATATCATTGAAAATGAGAGTAGACTTAAACCTTGAATTTAAAGGATTTATTTCCTTGCTGAAAGTGAAAAGCATATAGTATTTGTCCAAAGCTATTGTTTGTGGACTTATTACATTTGATTGACATGGATTCAAGGTAAAAATCAGGTCAGGGTCAAAATCCTGTTATAAGGAAATAAGCTGTATGAATATGATAGAGGTTGTTTATCACATCTTGTTGCTTTATGAACAGTTGAAAGATCCCATGGTTACTTGTCAGATAATTAAAAAAAATGAAGCAATTTTGATCCATTCCTTGCATTTGAATTTTGTTTATATTGAGGACCTATTTATAAATTTCCAATTTTGCATTATAAGAGTTTTTTTTAACCCTTAAAGGGAATATTATAAGAAAAAAAGGAGATTTGCATGTTAGAAACTTAGAATACAGAGATAGAGAGAAGTTTTAGTAGCTTTTATCTTGATGTACTTATCAATTATGTTGACAAGGGCATCAATTAAAGTTTTTATGTAGCTTACTAGCATCAAAATGTTGTGGTTTGGTCTGTAGTGCCTTGTTAATGAGGTACTTATGTCACTCAAACAACTCTTTACTTTAATAGATTCTGTTCATTGTGTCATTCTGATTTTTGCAGGCAAAAGTAAAGAGGCTGAAATCAAAAGAATAAACAAGGAGCTTGCCAACATCAGGTCAAAGTTCAAAGGTAAAAAAAGTCAGCTAGGAGATACAAAATATTTTCAAGGTTAAATATATTTAAAACTGTTCACTTTAAGAAAAAGAATTATTTTGTAATTAGAGGGTGAAGTTAAACTCCATTGATCTTAAATACAAATACAGGTGACTTTCGATGGCTCGAACTCCGATCTCTCGAAGTTCTTGATCTCTCGAAGTGAACCTCCGGTCCTGTTTTTTTCCCTCTATATAACTAGGCAAATTTACTCCTGATCTCTTGAACTCCCGATCTCTCGAAGTTCTCCATCTCTCGAACCAAGACCTGGGTCCCGTTATACACATTTCATTGTCTTTTACTCTCTATCTCTCGAAGTTTTGATTGCAAATGTATACACGTCAATCAAGCATAAAATTAATGCAGCTTGGACTTACCTGGATAACAGTGATCGCCTGGGGCTGGGATGGACGTATTTAGTGGGTGTTTACATAGATGATACTACACCTGTGAGTTGTCCAAGTGTTGATATAATTAATTGGTTAATTGGTAAATTATAAACAAATCGCTTCAGAACTTATTTTGACTGGACGAGACGATAATTTGAGAAAATAATTTAGGGACGTAATTTTCCATAGATTATGAACATTAATACATGTATTATTATAGAGTCTACACAATCCCAGTTTGGCAAACATTGCACAAGAAATCCTATCTCAAGACATGAATACCAATTACGAGCAATCTTGTGAAGGAATGATCAAGCCCCACAAATCGACAATTGCTATTCAGGTTTCATGTTATCATGAAATGAGAACAAATTAATATTAATTGAAACTTAAAATAATCATTATATTTATTCAAAACACGACCAATGTTGTTGAATTCAATTGAATTACCCGTAAAATACGAATGAAAATGTGCAATGACATTATCAACATATACTTCCGGTATCTATAAAAGTAGAACGATGATCGGAACTGCAAATTCCGGATTTTATCCACTTTCTATCTCTCGAACCCCTCGATCTCTCGAACTTTTCTTACGGTCCCTTGAGATCGAGAGTCACCTGTATCTAAGATGTAGTTAATTAAGTTTTTTCTGAGGCATTAATTATATTAATGTATTTTGGAAATATGAAGCTAGCTTTTGATAATGTTATCTTTTTACAGGTGACAAGACTTTAGATGGCTACCACAAGAAGAAGTATGTTTGTAAACTTCTCTTTATCTTCCTCTTGGGTCATGATATAGACTTTGGATACATGGAGGCTGTCAATCTTCTTAGCTCCAATAGATACACAGAAAAACAGATCGTAAGTCTACTGATATACAGGGGACACAGAAATGTGGATCAGTTGTCCATTGATAATTCATTTATTTTACTGATAAAGCGCAAAAATCTGAAAAAAGCAGTTCAAGAGCTCTACTGCTCAGACAGTGATTTTGAGAAATTCTGTGTAGTAATAAGATAATTAAGCTGCAATATAACTTGATAAGTAGATATTAGTTACAGTTTTATATAAAGAGAAAATGAAGAAAAATGAATCTAATCTGAGAAAAGAAATATTACTTTAAAACAATATTTATTTCATCCATCATGCATACATGTAAATTCTCATTGTTATACATATATTTAACTGTGTAGGTTCATATAAGATACTGTTGTATTTATCAGGGATACCTGTTCATTTCTGTGATGATTAGTGCCAATAATGATCTGATAAAGCTCGTCATTAAGTCCATTAAAAACGACTTGGCCAGTCCAAACCCTGTCCATGTTAATCTGGCTCTTCAATGCACAGCCAACATTGGGAGTAAGGAAATGGCTGAGGGCCTGGGCAACGAAATCCCCAAACTTCTGGTGACAGGGTAAGGAAAATGTGTACATGACTTAGAGAACTATAGTCTTATATTACTTGTATGTGTTGAAAATGTACATAGATCTCAAATGTTTTGGAACAATGTCTGTTCAACTGCCTACATTTAAGAAAAAATTTAACCAGAGATATCTCAAAGGACCTTATAGAAATATGTGATTTTGTTTTATGATAAGGAATCTACATTGATCTTGACTTAGCTTTGTTTTTCCAGCTCTAAGATAAATGTTTTGTGTTTGTTGCAGTGAAACAATTGATTCTGTCAAACAGAGTGCAGCTCTGACTTTGCTTCGATTGCTGCGGACGTCACCAGAATACATTCAGATTGGAGAGTGGTCATCAAGAGTCATTCACCTACTAAATGACCAGCACCTAGGAGTAGTCACATCAGCAGCAAGTTTAATTGAAGCTCTGGTGAAGAAGAACCCAGAGGAATACAAGGGCTGTGTTTCACTAGCAGTGTCCCGCCTCAGTAGGGTAATTGTCACTTATTCAGAGGACTGTGTTGGTTTATTTGATACCTACTATATTGATTTTCTTGTCAGACATTAAATGTCACAGGCACATGTACAACCTACTCAAGTAAATTTGACATACACAGTATAATATGTCCAAACTGGTCTCTGAGTAATCTGGAATTTGTCCATTTGATCCTCAAAATGAAGTATCACATACTTTTTGATTGCCTCAATGTGAGTGTAGATAAATGGAAATAAGCATTAGCATTATCAATTCAACAATACATTTATTACACTCCCTCCCCCCTTTGTTTTTTTTTTATTTTCAATATATGTGAAGCATTTAAATTTATATCTTTTATTGATACCATGTAAATGGTTCTTATTTTGAATGCTCTTTGTTATTTTTAGACTTGACACATCTATAAGAATTGTGTTATCTGTATAAATCACTGTCTGAAAGCAGATGGGATTTGATAACTTACTTAATGAATGTACATGTACCGTATTTGGCTGAATATAATACACACTTTTTTCCTAAAATAAATTTCTTTGAGAAAGGGGTGCGTATTTTACACCACAATGGGATTTTGATAGGTTTTTCTTTCAGGTGAAACATGGCTATCATACGCACAGACCATGTTATTACCTAGAGACTTATGCAATTTCTTGCTGTTTATCGCCGTATTTAAAACTTCGGAAAGTTATTGTTGGAACGCAGATTTGTTAAAAATGTTATATTTATAACCTTTTGATAGTTAAATTAAATTAAAAAGCAAGTTAAAATTAATTTGAGCTGCATGTTCATTGTCTCCGTGTAGGCCCCATTAACGATGTTATTTATAGATGTTCACACATTCCTTTGCCACGTGCTTCCGTAATCATAGTAAACATGTACCTAATCAGTCAGACACTCGGTCAGAAAAGTAATATGTAATATTTTTAATGAAATACAATGAAATAAAATTTATTTTAGGTTTTAAATAAAACAGTGAAAATTCATTTCAACATAAACACCCCCCTATATACGTCCCAATGAATGGAAGCCAATGTTGTGAACACGTGCGCTTGTCACTTGATAATTATCTCTCAACATCCCTCCAGGCAATTAAATTGTTTACCGACTCCAAAGCATTGTTTTTACAGTTAGAGCACTGATTATTTACTGCCCTTATTAATGGCTTTGATTATTTTCTTTGTTAAAAATCGGAGGTTGGTTTATGATCTTTCGTATGTATAAGCGTGTGTTGATTACGACATTTTAAACAGTTAAACGCTTGTTAAATTTAATTTTACTTTATCTTATATCGGCCTTGTGCTTAAATGATTGAGAGTTAAAAAAGGGAATATGAAGTATGTTAAAACTTAAGTGTTATCATTTACTCGTGCTCTGTAGAAAATAAGATATCCACGAAGATTACCTCGATGTATGAAGACATATATCCCACCTTTGTACATCATTTTCCACAGCTTTGGAGGTGTGTTGATAACTACACTTTACACGCTTGTTAAATTTTGATTTTATTTTTATAAAATCAGCTATTTATTTCATTAATTAATTTCAAGTTCAAAAGAGGAAAATTGTAGTCTATGAATACTTTGATGTTGCAATATCACTTGTCCTGTTAAATGTACATAATTTTCAACATGATTACTTTAAACTAAAAATAAAAATGACAACTGTTAAACTTGCAACAATATCTTGTGCTTTGTTGAAATAAAATTATTTCCACAAAGAATAGTTAGAATATGGCGAGGTATAATTTCAATATCACCGTGTGCTAAAAAAAAAATAAAAAACTCTGTTAATACTTTAATGCAACATTATCTCGTGCTTTGTTAAAATAAATAATTTCCTCCAGATTGCCGCGATATGGAAAGTCAAGATTAAGAAATAAAAACGCATTTGAATAAAATGTCATGTTCTGTAAATTTTTGGCACTTTATCTCCGTGCCGATTTAAATAGCAAATTACCACGATTTTGAAAAGTTCAGAACACCGCTTGGTAAAATCTTCTCTGCGTATAATAGAACCAAACTGTGTTTTTCCCACCAGTTTCAGGCTCAAAAAGGGGGGTGCGTATTTTACACCAATGCGTATTATGTTGGGCCAAATACGATGCATTGTTGGTTGCAAAGCATTTAAAAAAAAAAAATATGTAAATTTTGCTGCAACTTAATCAGTTGAGTTTTACTAAAGTACTCAAGAATTCACAAATGATAAGGAGAAGACCATACAAAAAAAATAGTAAATTAAGGGCAATAACTCATATTTTCCTCTGCCTTCATTTTGGATATTGTCCGTTTACATAGATTTTTTTTTAAGAATCATCCAGTTTGGACATATTAAGCTGTATGATATTTAAACCAAAGTACATAAGCAATAATTTCTGTTATCTTTTTCATTGCTACAACCTAATGAAATACAATTTCAATTAAGATAGTAATATGGATTCTGACCTAATTTTCAGATTGTGACAGCTTCATACACAGACCTTCAGGATTACACCTATTACTTTGTACCAGCTCCTTGGTTATCTGTCAAACTCTTAAGATTGCTACAGAATTATCCTCCTCCAGGTCAGACATTTTATAAAAATTGATTTTTAAAAAAAATTTATTGCAAAATTGAAAAGGACAGGCAAAAGTCTGGATCAATTTATAAATATAATATGTTTTTTAACGTTGTTACTGTAGAGGACCCAGCCGTGAGGACAAGGTTAACAGAGTGCTTAGAAACCATATTAAATAAAGCACAGGAACCTCCCAAATCTAAAAAGATCCAGCATGGTAATGCCAAAAATGCGGTACTTAATGAAGCAATTAACCTAATTATTCATATGGACAGTGATCCTAACCTTCTAGTCAGGGCCTGTAACCAACTTGGCCAATTTCTACAGCACAGGGAAACTAATCTAAGGTATAGCACTGAAGGCAGAAAATGCCTTTCTTTTGCATGCACTTACTTGTTAGATTGTTTATTTCCGAGAAAGATTTTTTTTAATGAAGTTTAGACAAAGGTCTTGGTTAGAATTTATGTATATTGTTATAATTAACATATTAAAAATTTAAAAAAATAAGTATCAATGAAAGGCATGTTTATTTGACTTTTCTTTATTGAAATGGTTCAAAAACTTATTTGATAACCATAGAAGCTCTGCATTTCAGCTGATATAAAGTATTGATGAATAATACCATTCCTTTTGTAACAGATACTTGGCTTTGGAAAGCATGTGTTTGTTAGCAACATCTGAGTTTTCACACGAGGCAGTGAAAAAACACCAAGAAACTGTAGTTAATTCATTAAAGGTAGGTCCAAATACAGGCTAAGTGTGCAATTTATATCTTAGCGTGTGGGAACAGTTAAAAAAATACAATCCTAATGGAAAATTGACATTTGTTTTCCTAAAATTAAGGTAAACATTCCCAAATGAAAAGTTTATTGAATATTGTAGTGCTTTTTATCAGAAATCTGAATTTTTAAATTGTATTAGTTCATAGAAGTGAGTAGAAGAAAGATGTACAATTTGACTGTCTTTATTTTTTTTTGATATTAATTCCCAATTGAAAGAATAAAGGATCCGAGTTATGAAAAGTATTGCAATTACATGTACATAAAAGAAATAATGTTTTTTAATACTAACCCTTTTCTTTATTGACATTATACATTGACAATATTTAAGAACCAAATACTGTTACAAATGCTAGAACATGTAAATTGTTGGTTTAGTTGATTTTGGATGTGACTGTAAACACTTGGGTATACCTATTTTAGACTGAGCGAGATGTCAGTGTGAGACAGAGGGCAGTGGACCTTCTATATGCCATGTGCGACAGAACAAATGCTGAAGAAATTGTAGGGGAAATGTTGGAATATTTAGAAACTGCTGACTACTCAATACGAGAGGAAATGGTATGCTTATGCTCTACACACAACATTATGTATTTATACCCCACGCAACAAGTTGCGTGAGGTATAATGTTTTTGACCCGTCCGTCAGTCAGTCAGTGTGTCAGTCAGTCAGTGTGTCAGTCAGTCAGTGTGTCAGTCAGTCAGTCCGTCAGTCCTGTTTTTTTGTCAGCGCAACTCCTCATAAACCGCTGCACAGAATTTCGTCAAACTTTGCAGATATTTAGGACACAATGTGTAGATGTGCATATTACCAGGAAATTCCGATTCCTTTATTTTTTCTCGGAATTTGGGCACTTTTCAACTTAGATTTTTGGCCATATCTTGAATATGGAGATGAACAGTTTGTCAGCGCAACTCCTCATAAACCAATGCACAGAATTTGGTCAAACTTTGCAGATATTTAGCACACAATGTATAGATGTGCATATTACCAGGAAATTCCGATTCCTTTATATTTTCTTGGAATTTCGGCACTTTTCAACTTAGATTTTTAGCCATATCTTCAATATAAAGATGAACAGTTTGTCTGCGCAACTCCTCTTAAACCGCTGCACAGAATTTGGTCAATCTCTGCAGATATTTAGTACACAATGTGTAGATGTGCATATTACCAGGAAATTCTGATTCCATTATTTTTTCTGGGAATTTCGGCACTTTTCAACTTAGGTTTTTGGCCATATCTTGAATATAGAGATGAACAGTTTGTCAGCACAACTCCTCTTAAACCGCTGCACAGAATTTGGACAAACTTTGCAGATATTTAGTACACAGTGTGTAGATGTGCATATTACCAGGAAATTCCGATTCCATTATTTTTGCCTTAAGAGTTTTGCCTTTTATTGAAGAAACTTTCCAGCTAGGTAATAAGAAACTCCACTGGAATCAGCTTTTTATAATGAAATTCTATGTGAAATATTTTATGACCTTAAAAGACCCCTATTGATTTTGAGATCAAAATATTAATGGTTTAACACAAACACACACTCACACACACACCATCTTCGATAGTTCTCTCCCCCCCCCCCCCCCCCCCCTTCAAATTGGTGTGCTTTGCCTTAAATAATTTCATAAGTACAGTATATAAACAGATTCATATGACTACATCATAATTTTGTTTCCATCAATTATTTAAATGTGTAAACTGTCATGTGTTGGACATGGACTTACACTCATTAACAAATCGAAATCACTGAGGAATTTAAATAACAGTTTGTCAGCATAATTCCGGCACTGAATTTCCTGAAACTTTGTAGGTATTTCAGAATAATGTATAGATTTGTATATTACCAAGAAATTTTGATTCCATTATTTATCTAGAAACTTCAGCCCAGTTAAATTTGTAACATACAAAGATTTGAATGTCCTTATATGCAAGAAGTTTTGATGTGATGATTTTTTGCAAGTAATGCCCCTTTTTTGAATTATACTGTGTATTTAAAATGCACTGTGCCATTCATTACGTGTTGCATTGTCGAGTTTTGGGGAAGCGTGGGGTATGTGAGCTTGCTCACTTTTTCTTTCATTTTTTTAATAATCAATAAATTTTCTGCAGCAGTAATTATTGGGTGATGCTGATGTTGAGACACATTTGATCTCATAGAACAAAAATATGACTGTAAACAAGTGTACATGTACTTTCACTATCTTAAAGCTGAATGAAATGTGAAAATAACACTGGCATGAAATTGATTTGAGTAAGGCATAATGGAATAATACAATTACTTTCAGTACAATGATGAGTAGAAGAGAAGAAATTGTTAATAGTTTTATGTATTTTTACATGTAAAATTGTCAGGTAGTTGCACATTTCTAATCGTGGAATTTATTGAAATAAAAGTATAATGTAATATGAAATTTTGTGGATTTTAAAAAATGTTGTTGTACTACGTATATTACATTTCTGAAATCATTTTGATTTTTTTGAGTAGGTGCTGAAGGTGGCTATTCTGGCAGAGAAGTACGCGGTGGACTACACTTGGTACGTGGACGTCATACTGAATCTGATCCGCATCTCTGGAGATTACGTTAGTGAAGAGGTGGGTGTGATCTTGTTAACATGCTGGAAAACAACTTTACATGAGAAACACTGTGACTTGCCTTTCACTAAGGCATTAAAAGCAGGGTTAAAATAAAATATATTCCTAACCAATCATGCTTACTACATGTATGTACTGTATCAATTGTACCAGAAATTTGTTTTTTCTGTAAAATATGAAGATAACTTAGAAGATGTGTAATAACTGCGTTCTCAATCATGAATAGGTCTGGTACCGAGTCATACAGATTGTGATAAATAGGGATGATGTACAAGGGTATGCAGCGAAGACTGTGTTTGAGGTAGGTCATAGGGATATCAGCCGTCTTTTGTGCCACAAACATGAATTCAGTCGTTTGCTTAATCTGTAATATTAATCTGTAAACTGAATTACTGATACATGTACTGAGTTTTGTTTTCTGTTCAGGCTCTGCAGGCCCCAGCTTGTCATGAGAACATGGTCAAAGTCGGAGGATACATACTAGGGGAGTTTGGCAATCTTATTGCAGGGGATCCTAGATCTAGGTCAGTTGATATACATGTACTTGTATGATTATTTATTTTCCAATGAATGCATTTCTATATATGTGGCAATAAAATGGATGTGTCTCAAGATAGAGATTTCATATTCACAACATATACATGTATGTTATGAAAGCAGATTCTGAGGTGTAAGTGTTAAAATGTCGAGATAACACTGCAGGGCATTTTATGACTTTGTCAATTCTCAAGTTCTCTTTCTGTCCTGCAGTCCACTTGTCTAGTTGTAGCTGCTACATTCTGAGTTCTAAGTGTGGTCAGGTTTTAGTTCTACTTTCTATTTTGATAGTCAACTTATCTAGTACCAGCTGTTATATTATAAGCACCACCTATGTGATCAGTTTTCTAGTTTTAATTTCTGTTTTGACAGTCCACTTGTCCAGTTCCAGCTGTTACATTCTAAGTACCACCTGTGTGGTCCTGCCACCCGTGGATTACTACTGTCTACATACATCAAGTTTGTCAACCTGTTTCCTGAGATTAAGTCAACCATTCAAGATGTAAGCATGACTTCCAGATTTGCCCATTTTATCTTCTGTAGGAAGTCATTATCCCAAGTTTTTACTAAAAAGGCTAGAATGAAATTAAAATATTTAATCATAAAAAAATTTACTCTTTGGCATTTTATTTTTTGCCTACTTGCACTCTATTTTCATTTCAGGTTTTAAAAAGTGACAATAATCTTCGTAATTCAGATGTTGAATTACAACAGAGAAGTGTGGAATATCTACAGTTAAGCACAGTTGCCTCAACTGATGTTTTGGTAAATATCTATCTCTATATCAATTATAGCTATATTTCATTGAACGTATATGAGATACAATAGCATTTTTTTAAACACCATAGGAAATAAGCATTGTGCATGTACGTAACATTCAGACAACAGATAATACCAAGGTTAAAATTGTTGGGGACATCATGCTCCTGTTGCTATTGATTATTGTAGGCAACAGTTTTGGAAGAAATGCCACCATTCCCAGAGAGAGAATCATCAATTTTGGCTAAATTGAAAAAGAAGAAACCCACAGTGACAGAACAAACAGAGAACAAGGAGCCAAAACAACCAATGCCCCAGGCACAGATGAGCAACAGTGTCAACACCCATGCCACCCCCACACCTCCTCCCGTGAGTTAATATTGTACCCCCCGCAAACAAAATTTAGGGGGGCATATTGGAATCAGAATGTCTGTCTAGCTGTCCGTCTGTCTGTAGACATGATTTTGTCCAAACCTGTTCTCGGAGACTTGTGTGGATTTGTCTGAAAAGAGCTAGGTTCACTTTATGCATAAAATGGCCCTGTGGATATACCAATTTATTGACAATAACCCTATGTCCCATTTTCAACATCAATATAAAGTAGAGACTTAGTGCTTTAAGTTTGTATAACAAAGTTTCCTGTAAATAGCCCAGGTATTGATAAATGGGTTGTGTGAAATTGCAACGTTCTTGAATTTTGCAGAAAACAGGTGTATTTGAGAACCTTCAGCAAAGAATTAAGATGTGAGCACACCCCTTGATCCAAAAATTAAAATATGATTTATAATATTCATAAGCAGTTCTTTCATTATCATAAGCAGGTCTTTCATTACATATTTGTATAATTTTGGATCAGAGGTTGTGCTGTATACAAAATATTGAAAAATAGCATCATCTTTTGGCCATTTTTGAAGAAATATTCAGGACACGTGAATAATCACATCAGTTCAGGAAAAAACCCATCATTTGAATATTTTTTATTTTAATAAGTGAAAACATTAATTTTAATTCTTATACAGATATTTTTTCTGTATTACAGCTGTCTACAGTGTCCAATCCCAGTACGGTCTCGGATGACCTGCTTGGCCTGAATTCCCCCGCCCCCACACAGACGGGTCCCTCAGCAGGAAGTTTCCTGGTTGATGTATTTGACACAGTGGGTTCAGGTCCATCTACCAATGGAGTGGATGAGAACGGTCTGACAGTTGGGGCTGAAGACAGCTTTAAAAAGTAAGGCATTTTGTGGTTTACAGAGAAATGTTTGAGGAAGTTATTATTGAGTATGTCTATAAAAAAAGATTCGTATCTTTACTGTTGCAGTTGCTGGGTAAAATGTCCTTTATTTCATTATTTATCTATAAGTTGATTGTCTTTTTTCTGTGTAAATTTGTAGACTTTATCCTTGACTCAACCATAAGTCAGATCAATTCTGGCTATTTAAAACAACAGTTTCTTTTAGTTTTAAGAGTATGATGATAAAATTGCTACATAGGATTGTAATTAGCAGGTAATAGATTTCAATACTATGGTTTCAGACAGTCTAGGCGATACTAAAAATACATTTCTCTAAATGATATGATGTTAAACTGTCATGTGTGTCATGTAATTACATCACAGATTTAATTTTACAGTGCTCTCTTTTTAAGTAAGGTGATACATGTATTACAGAATAGAGAAAATTTGCTTATTTTTTCCAGATTTATTTGTAAAAATAATGGAGTATTATTTGAAAATGACCTTCTACAAATTGGAGTGAAATCTGAATACCGACAGAACCTTGGGAGACTGGGGATATTCTACGGCAACAAAACATCATACCAGTTCAGTGGATTTAGTGTAGACACACAATGTCCAGGAGAGCTAGGTTCTCATATCCTTTATATAGAAGTTAAATACAAGGAACATAAATATTGATCTGATACAGTCCTAATAGAAAAACAGGAACAGTAATGAGTTCAGAAGTGATCATTCAGACCGTCTAGAATTACAGACACATAGGTATGACTCGGTCCAGGGTCTGTTCAGCCATTTCTATTGGGAAGAAGTCACACTTTCATAAAAAAAGCTTAGAACTCTTTTATTTTTAATCAAATCATCATGAAACTTCATGAAATGATGCATCTCAATAAGACCCAACATTGCATGGAGTGTTAATTGTCACTTCAAGTTCAAAATTGTCTTTTTGACCCCCAAAAATGCTTATATGTTTCTGGAGTGATCTGTATATACCCCTCCCAATGTGTTTTGGATATCCTTGTAAGTGGGCAAATAACTTGAGGAAGGCTTATCAGAGTAATCATATTGATGTTAATTTACTTCCAAATACATGTACAAAGTATTTACATGTATCTTAATTCCTGCTAAAGTAAATAATTTTCATGAGTTTTCTACAATATTCATAAAAACATTGGAATCAGATTTTCATTGTGATCATTCTTCAGCGAAGGTTGTCATTTGATGTAAGATTGAGAAAATGTACTAAGTTATAGAATTTTTAGGAATTAAGTACCTGTATCAATAATTTTGTGTTTAAAGTCAAGGGAAGACAAAGTTTCTTATAGAATGATTTTAGATACATGTAAGTAGGTGCCTTAACAGCAGTTTACAGATCACATGTACACAAAAGCCTGTAGATACCACGATAGATAGTGGAGCTCAGGTCCAACAGGTTATCAATATTGAATGTATTACCGAGTTTGCAGAGGCTCCTATTCTGGCTATCTCCTTCACGTAAGTAAATCGGGCACTCTTCCTCAAAACAGACTCTGTTTTGTGTAAATTGTTGTACCTGAGTGTTTTATACATAAATACTTGTATTAGAATCTGAAGCAGGTTATAGGAAACTATGTATGTGTTTTAGGTGTAATGGTAATTCTCAGAAATTGAAACTAAAGCTTCCAGTAATGTGTAGCAAATTATCGGAGCCCGTTGAAATGGATTCTGCCACATTTTTCTCCAGATGGAAGGCCCTTTCACAGTAGGTTGAATGTCAAATAAATTTAACAGGCTCTATAACTGAACTTCATTTGTCATTTTCTTCTCTGATACAAAGTGAACACTTGAATATTTAAAATGAAAAGATGTTGTGCTTCTCTTTGTAGGCCTAATCAAGAATGTCAGAAAGTGTTTAAAGCCAAATTTCCAATAGACTCTGAACAGAACAAGACTAAAGTAAGCATACAGACTGTGCTTTTATAGTCATTTCAGTCATTTTCTGAGTTTATTTTCATTCATAGTGTTTGCAAATGTGATGTAGATATATTATTGCAATGATTCCATATCTAATGTCTGATTTTTTACACAAATGTAATAGATCTTGGGATTTGGAGTGAGTGTCTTGGAAGGAATTGACCCTAACCCAGAAAACTATGTAGCTGCTGGAATCATTCACACCAGATCAGCCCAGATTGGCTGTCTCATTCGACTAGAACCAAATAAAGCTGCCCAGGTAATGGATTGTTTGCTCAGTTAATCCCTAGACTACTGTATGTGTACATAAATTGATGATTCAAATTCAAAATTTAGCGCAATCACTGGGTATTGAGTGGTTAACGTAATAATGAATTAGCGCTACATAAGTCCGCACTATGTATTATATTTATTAATGATTTATTAAATGTATTCATGAATTAGCGCATTGTTGTACTGTGAGTGTGCTTTAAATAGTTGGCTTCATATTCGAGCGGCTTTGGCGCAAAGCCTAGAATATGAAGCCTGCTATTTAAAGTACACATAAAGCATTTTGCTACAGCTAATTCTTTATGTTATATGGGTCTTTAAAAGTCTGTGCAGTATTTATGCTTAAAATATTCTGATCATGCCAAATACCATTTAATCTGAGTTGACCCCAAAATGCATGCATTTTGTTGTTCATAGATTCAATGTTTGAAGCCATGGGTTCTGTTCCATTTTACAGATGTACAGGTTAACAATACGTGCTAGCAAACCTCCTGTACCAAATATCCTAGCAGATTTACTGGAGCATCAATTTTAGTGCATACCCAGGGGAGCAAACCATGTGATAGACAGAAGACTGTGTAAAGGGAGATAATCTGTACAGGCAAATGAGAGTGAAAGAAGACCGAAATCATTAGGCTGTTGTAATTAGCTTGTGTCTTGTGTTTGGTACTGTGCTAGAGTAGAGGTGATATAGAAAATAATGATGGTCTTCTTTCTGATGATGTGTTAAGTTGTGTAAAAGTTTGTGAGTATGATCAGGAAAAGTATCATGGGTTGTGTGTTTTTACTTTTAAATTCCTAAATTAATACATTAAAAGCATTAAATGTCAGCTTTAGGGAAAAATAATTTGCGAATGTACATGTAAATGTCTTATGTTTGTAATATATATTTTTTTGGCCTCTACATATTCCCCTAGACTCTCAACATAAGTTTTATTTCTCAAAATGCATTACATATTGCTTTTTGTTGATTGTTTTGGGCATTGAATTATAGAATGTGATAAAATGCCATGTGCATACCACACTAAATGGTGATCACTTTCATAATATAGCATAGACTATTTGAGGAGGGGAGGGGGTACTCATGGAATATGCAGCAAAGTATAAAAGGTGGATACAGGTTAAATGAAGTCCTTCAGTTTTTATAGATATATGTAACTGTTGCCATTATTACATTGTCCAAGGTATTATACATTCCATATAACATGCAGATATTTACCTAAATTATTAAGGAAACCTCTTTTTAGCAGATACTTGTGTGAAGAGTGTATACATGTTTAAAACACTGATGGTGCATTCTGCCATGATGAGCTACAGTTGTATGTGTATGAGTTCTAGTTTAGTTCAGTTTGTCAAAGATTTATGGATATTCAAGAGTTTACAATATATAAGAAGTTGAGTTTCACAGATATGAACATGTTCATGTACTGTACATGTATGTGTTGTTTTTTAAATTTTAAGTCAACTCTTTTATTATGGAGTATGGTGACAAATTCTGAAAGAAAAGCATAATGTTTGTTGAAGCAGTTAACTTTAAGAATGAATTTAAACCAAGTAAATGTTAAATTTGTTAAGTAAGATTATTTTTTAGAAAGGTGATTTCTCTTTTTTGTTGTGGCAGATTTTGTTAAGAAATATTTTTTAAAAATGTATTTATCGTGTACAAAAATGAATACTCAGTGTATGAATGGTAAATTTCTCAATCCATAATCAACAATCACTAATGGAAAAGTAATTAGTACATGATAATAGTAGGCTATTTGTGGTTGGGATTATAAATTTAAGGCTTCTTCATGGTGCATTGATTATCATAGTTGATGATAGAAGAGGAAACCATGTGTACATATGTTAATACAGGTGGGGAATAATGTCCACATTAAAACTTTCCTTATTCAGATAACTGCTTTGAAAGGGTGCATTTAATGGATGATGAAAGGAAATACAAGTGGGTGCCAGTCACAAGAACTTGGGTAAAATTATTAAAACTATAATATCATTCTGATCAAAATAAATTAAGTTGATAGTTGTCTTTTCAGTATAGCGTCAAATTCTTAGATTTCCATAAAGCTGTCTTTGGTTTAATCATATTTGACAGGAGCAAGTTATTATATCTAGATGTGATGTTTGGTACCATTACATAGAATATTGTATACAAAGTTAAACCTCATGTGCAATAAACAGTAGAATGCTTGTAACTTAAAAAGGTATTATATTTCATGTGAAGAGAATTATCTTCTTAATCAAAGTTGTAAGTCATAGATGCTAGAATTGTATTAAAAATGCAGAAATAATTTGAAGACCTTCTGTTGTTTAGGGTGCTCTGCATAGATCAAGATGTGTTGGGAATCTGAATAGGTCACATAATTCAAGTCATGTGACAGATGTGATTTAAAGATGACAGCTTTTGATTTATTAATGAACTAGTTGATGGGGAATTATTTATCAATAGACCTCCCTGTGTACATTGTATATTTATATATCATGATGATAATATCAACATCATTATAAACAACTCATTAAAGTGGTTAAATAAAATTTTCCTTTTTTTTTTACTGAGGGAGACAAAATTGATATTGTGTCAGTCAGAGGACTTTAGGAGTTAGAGTCGGGGGGATCTGAGGGCTTCATTACAAAACTGCCAGAAGAACAAATATAAAATGCATTATATGAGTGAAATGAAAAGGACAAGGTTTAAAATCTTGTACATCTACATGTATATAACTGTGTGAGTGGATCAGAAACATTTGGGTAATGAAGTTGTTGCTTATTCAGGTTATGGCTTACTTATAAAAATATGTTATAGAAATTTTTAAGTTATTCAGGCTTTATTTTTGCTAAGTTACATGATGAAAATGAAGTTTTCATCTTCAGACATCCTTATTTTTTGCATTCTTCACAAATTTATGCTTTAATATCTATATTAAAAGTTTTAAAAAATTCAGTTAACCTGAAAATGAATATAAATTTAATTTTACCATGTAAAAAATGATTAAATGAAAATAATGAAATACAAGAAGTTATGATTAAAACACTTCCTAAAGATTTTGATAGTCTTATGACCTAATAAAAAAATCACCACACAAAATCTGTATCGACTATTCATTCATGCCTTTATTAATTTTGAGGAAAATCTTTTACTAACAGGATGCAGTGTTTAAAGCTTCCACTCGTAAAGGAGAATAAATCTTTCACTCATAAAGGAGGAGAAAGCTTTTACTCATTGAGAAGGGTTACACATTCACTCATTGAGGAGGGTAATGCTGGATGGTAATGCTTTCAGTCAATGAGGAGGGTAATGCTGGAATGTTTCCCTTCCACTCATTGAGGAGGATAAGACTTTCACTCATTTAGGATGGTATGGGGGTAATGCTTTCACTCATTGAGGAGGGTATGCTTTTACCCATTGAGGAGGGTAACACTTTCACTCATTGAGGAGGGTAACCTTTTCACTCATTAAGGAGGGTAATGCTTTTACCCATTGAGGAGGGTAACACTTTCACTCATAGAGGAGGGTAATGCTTTCACCCATTGAGGACTAATGCTTTTACCCATGGAGGAGGGTAATTCTTTCACTCATAGAGGAGGGTAACGTTTTCACTCATTTAGGAGGGTATTGCTTTTACCCATTGAGGAGGGTAATGGTTTCACCTATTGAGGAAGGTAACGCTTTCACTCATTGAGGAGGGTAAGGTTTTCACTCATTAAGGAGGGTAATGCTTTCACCCATTGAGGAGGGTAACACTCACTCATTGAGGAAGGTATTGCTTTTACTCATTGAGGAGGGTAATGCTTTTACTCATTGAGGAGGTTATTTACTCCTCACTAAAATATTTACAGAGTAATGGAGAAACTTCAGGAGTACTGTAAAACATTTTTTCGAGAAGTGGTGTAAATCAGATATGGATACTTAAAAACTTCAAGGAACTTGAAGAAAATTTGAAATCACAAAATTTTACCAAAATCAATAACATCAAAAATGTATGACTTTTCAACACTTTATACAACCATTCCCCATAACAAATTAAAGTCCAGGCTTTTTGACATCATTGATAGCTGCTTTGTCAATAAAAATGGAACTCGTAAATTTACATACCTTGTCCTGGTCATTTGCAAAATTATTGAAAAAACATTCTGATTGTACACACATATACTCTGAAGTTGATATTAAAGAGATGCTTGAGTTTCTGATTGACAATATCTATGTAGTTTTTGGAGATAAGGTCTTCCAACAATCTGTTGGAATTCTCATGGGTACCAATTGCACCCAATTATTACAGACCTATTCTTGTATTTATATAAAGCAAAATTTGTTCAAAAACTTCTAAATGAGAAGAAGAAAACACTTGCTGTGGCCTTCAACTCAACATTTCCATATATTGACGTATTATCAATTAACAATAGTTACTTCCATTCATATGTGGACACGATACATGTATATCCCAATGAACCTGAAATAAAATATACCACAGAGTCTGACACACCTGTTTCATATCTGGATATTTTAGGGCCGGTACACACGACAAGGCTTGCCTTATAAGTCACGGAACTTAAGTTCTAGCCTTACCGTGTGTACACCCTTAATACACGTTTTTTCAAGCCTTGCAAGTCTGACTTACGAATAGAGCACTGCTCTATTTCTTAATACAAGACTTAGCTGACATGTTCCTCTCAACCAATGAAATCCACTCACCCAAATTTCAATCTATTTTGATCAAACACGTGGGTAGATTGAAGGGAAGTATATTCGAATAAGATAATGAAAATATCCGCAAATGCTTTTGTTCAACCTCCTCTTTTTTTCAGAAGTGTGAATGCACTGGTCTGTAAAATTATTTCAAAGTCCTAGCTAGTAATCTATACTTCTATTTTAATGATATGCACTGTTTACGGCTCAAAAAAAAAAAAAACCATGGGATTTATGGAAATGTTGTTTATAATCATATAAGTCTTGCCTTAGCGTGTGGACGCCAGAGCCGTATGTCCTGCAAAACGTAAGGTTTTAGACTTGTAAGGCAAGCCTTACCGTGTGTACCGGCCCTTACTAGAAAAAGGACGTTAATGGTAACCTAACAACCAAACTTTATGATAAACTGACTTCAACTTTTCTATCGTCAACTTCTCTTACTTATGTAGCAATATACCCTAGGTTATGACCAAAGTTCACAGGAAATATACATGTGAAATATGAAAACCCTAGCACTAACCATTTTAAGTTATGACAAAGGGTAAAGTTTTTTGAAAGTGTGTCAAACTCCAAGGTCAAGGTGAAAAGGTTAAAAATATTTTACCTAAGAAAAGGTCTTCTCACAGGAATACACATGTGAAGTATGCATGCCCTAGTGCCCATCGTTCAAAAGTTATGGCCAATGTAAAAGTTTGGTAAAATTAAAAAAAAGAGCTGGGTAAAACTCAAAGGTCAAGGTCAAATAAGCTGGTACCCAAAGAAAGGTCTTGTCACAAGGAATACAACTGAAATATGAAAGCTATAGCTCCAACCAATCAAAAGATATTTGCAAGGTTATAGTATTTGCCTTGAACTCAAAATAAAAGACGCCATATTCCAATATAACCTGTATATGGTGTTAATGTCTTCGAACTATTCCATACTGAAAAGCATGATCTTAGTACAATCAAGTTTAAACTGAGGCAGGATAATGACAAAAAAATTATGTTACAGGGATTTCAACAAGCTCGTTTATAGTCAGCATTTGGTAAATGCTATGGTCATATATTGACATTGTTAGCAAATATAACATAAAATTAGATCGCTTTGAGTGACATATTTCGTAACTTTTTTTTATACTAAATTTGAGAAAGGTGAAGATGCTGAACAGTGATCGATCTAAAAAGAATCTACGAAGAATACAAATTTATGAAAAGTGCATTAAAAACGGACCCCCGGAAATTCCAGAGGTGGGATCAGATCCTTAGGATCAGTAAGCATTCCCTGTTGACCGGTCACAACTGTTGTGAGCCTTAGGTATTGATTATTCCGTAGTAAAATTTAGTGTGAAAACAAAGGCCCAACGATTGATATGAAACACGCCAGCTAAAAATACGTCCCATATATTTGTTCACAAGGTCAATATAACGACCATAGAATATTCCATCTATCTGATCAATATATATGGGGCTCACAACTGATGATACTGGTCGACAGGTGTTTACTCCTCCTAGGCACCTGATCCCTCCTCTGAAATTTGTGAGGGTCCGTGTTTTATGCCCTGTTCACAGATGTATATTATCTCCCTCATGCATAGCTTTTATCTTTCGACGTATTTGTCTTCAGTCTTTGGCACCCCTTTATTTAGCTCTTCAAAGATTTTTTTTAATTTGAATATTTCGGATTTCTAACGTTTCGTCATGAGCATCACTGAAGAGACATGATGTCGAAATGCGCATCTGGTGCATCAAAATTGGTACCGTATATGATTTACATTGTTTGTATTTTTTGCTCACCTGAACCGCAGGCTCAAGTAAGCCCTTATAATCAAAATTTGTCCGTTGTCTGTCGTTGATGTCGGAAACTTTTTTACTTTGGTTGAATAGAATGTTGAACGTATTAAACATTGAAATGTGAAATTTCATCCTTAGAAAGTAACCTATGAGTAGAAGATAGTTTCCCAGACATAATGAAATGTGGAGATAACGAACAGTATTCAAGCTCAAAGTCCATTCAAACAATACTAATCGGGAGCAGAGCATATACGGACCTCCAAAAACATCAGAGGTGGGATCAGGTGCCATTGAGGAGTGAGCATCCCCTGCCGACCGGTCACACGAACCGTGTGCCCCTTGTCATGATCGAGAAATAACTGAAAAATCCGTCGACAATTCAATTTGTAAATAATGGCCTAACAATTTGTATGAAAAGCGACAGTCAGCATGACTTAATGATAGATTTGATTGCCGACAAGGTCATTGTATCGACCATAGAACTTACGAAATGATGACTTTAAACGAGACTGTTGATATTCTTGTTTCATCAACTTGTTTGTCAATAATTTACCTCGTTTTAGAAAGTGTTCATAAGTAGAACATGCTCTTGCGTATCGAATTAACTGAGAGATATACACCCCATATGCAGGTGATAATGGTATATTGCTGCCTAGGTAAGGGAAGTCATCACGTTTATCATAAAGCTCAGTTGTTAGATTACCATTAACGTCTTTTTTAGTATATAAGTGAAGCCAAGTTCTCCTTTATTACAGTTATAATAATAAGTCTTAAAAACAAAGATGATATTGTTACAAGCCTCGTCTTTTGGAACAGAGGGGCATGATAAGGGAGAGGAAATGAGGAAGGAAAGTACCTATGCACCCCTTCCAACGAATCCTTTGATAGATAGATTTAAAAAAAATGTCTATTCCCTTTCTCTCGAGCCTTTCTTACCTGATATACCCTTTCTTCTCAACACCCAGTATTGTAACCCCTTACTTACACCTTAAATTACAAAGCTCTTGAAATTCTGACATGTTCTACAGCACGAAGCAAGCAACAAGTACAAATGATAAAGTGATAAATGATAAAGTCAA